TATATATATATATATATATATATATATATATATATATGTATGTAGGGTATATTTCAAATACAACCATGTCCATTTGTACAACCAATGCAACCTAATCAATTGAGATATTTATAGAAATGACGGGAGATCATTTATTATGATTTGAATATTTATAGAAGATGAATATGATTTATTAATTATGATCAATACTTTATATTAAAAAACAATCAAAACTTTTATAAAATCACATATTAATCAAATTAAATGAACGGTTAAGATTGAATTGTATTGGTTATACAAATGTAAATGGTTTTATAATAACCCACCCCCTCTTTTTATATATATATAAAATTCAAAGTGATGGATTAGAACCACCGGTCGAATTGTTCCAGTTAAAAAAATCCTAATTTTTATTTTAGTTTAAAAAGGACCGGTTAACAGGTTAAGGCCCCATTAATATGAACTCTATCTGTAAGTACAAGGGTGTAATATGTAAACTTTACCTTAGAGGCTGTTTGTTCGCCTCTTAATCGGTAAGAGGCAGAGGCTGTTTGGCAAAAAAAATAAAACCTCTTTAACGGTGATAATTATCTTTAACCATTTTGCATCTAATAGATTGCCTAATGGTTCAGAGGCTTATTTTTCCAAGATTACCCTTCCCATCTCCTCTCCTTCCAGCCGTCGCCTTCACCGAGTTCACGTCGCCTTCACGTCGCATTCCACAGACACGCCGGTTGTCTTCTCCACCGTCTCCGGTCACCTCCACCGTCTCCATCGCCCGTCGTCTCCACCGTCTCTGTCTCCTCCGTTGCCGGTTGTCGCCTCCACCATCTCTGCATCTCCCTATTGTTTCAAAATTACCCTCTCTTCCAGCCGCTCTTCTTCACATCGCATCCCATGTATCGCCTTCCCTCCATCGTCGTTCGCCTGTCTCCGGTCGCCGCCCCTATAGCGATAATCCCACAGTCGCCTACTTCCCCTTCATCTGCTTCCACGGTCACCGTTCTTAAGGTATTTTCCTAAAATCGATCTCCTTGCTTCCCTACATCTGCTTCCTCTACCGCCTCCTTCAATTTTATGTTTAAACCTTGCAATCACACGATGAGGTTTCTTGAAACAGTGGCTTTGAGCCCATGGTACTGTTTTTAAACATAAGCAGGTTAATCATGTTGTATAATTGTTGAGGCAGAGACTATTTAAGCATAAGCAGGTTAATCTGGGTACTATTTCTTAATTAATCATGTTGGTTTCTGTCTATCTGGATACATGATTTTAGGAAACAGTGACTTGTTTCTGTCTATGATGCTTCATTGATGAACTTCTTGATCAAGTGATAATGATAAGTGGTAAAGGTTGGATGCCATTCTTTCTTACTAGCAAGATATCATCAACCAAAATAGATGTCCAATTTATATAGATACTTGTTGTCTAGCAGAAACTAATCGAAAGCAAAGCAGAATCAGTTGCAAATAGGTAGAGGGTTAAAATGGTAATTTGTTGTTATTCAGAGAACAGTTACCAAACAACATTATTTCATTCAGCACTTAACCATTTTGACCCTCTTAACCATTCTGACCTCTTAACTATTCTGCGCTAAATCATTCAGTTTGGTAAATGCCTGATTCAGTCAGATCTAACACATGTTTGGCAGATTCTCTGAATGATAAAATATATCTGATTCGCTCAGCTCAATCATCCATCCTTCCCCATACAATTCAGATCCCTTCCCTTTTCCTTATCGTTCCTTTGCCCTCGTATCGCCGGACCATCTACTGGTATGGTGCACCATCCTCTCGGCCTCTCTCCACCATAAGCGGAAAAGGTAAAACCCTGTTAAATTTTTTCTTCCATGCCCTATTAATTTCTTATTGGTATCTCATACCACTTGATCCCCTTTCCTGTTCAGGACATATTGTATATGCTCTATAATTTTATATGCAATATAATCAGTTTTCTCGTTGAGGACCTCTTCTTCTATGTCTTCTTGATTTCTTGGTTCCTAAACTTAACTTGTAAATACAACATCCTTGGTATTCTTTTCATAAATTTTTTACTTCTAAGTTGGTCTACTACCTAGTCGATGAAATGCTAAAGAACTATTGTATAACATCTTGGCTTGCTCATATGGTGTTTGCTACTGGTCTATTGTTGTTGTTTGTTCCAATGCTGATGTGTGTTGGTTGGGGTTGTAAAGCTAAGGTTTTTTAGAGGAACCAGAAGTATGTTGTTATGTGTGTGCTTGCATATGCATCACATCAAATGGAGTTGGTTGAAACAGTTTGGTTGCCACCTGCACATAATTTGAAAACAAATATCATCAACATAGTGGAAAGCAAACATTTACAATTTCACATAGTGCTCAACTACCTAGATTAAATGTGGAAAGTAGATCATGAACATTACACTTACCATATAGAGTCTGTCCTAACATACGCTATACCCCTCTTTCGCACTATACTGGCCTATGAGAAACTTTGTAATAGTCAACCTATGATGATCAAGTGTTTTACAATATATGTTATATATACAAAAACAAAATTTGACTCTTTGGTTGACATGTATCTTCTTCAATTGGGGCATGAGTATGATCACACTTTTATGTGCAAATGGGGTTGTTTTCTTTTGGTTATAAGATTTGAAGCCTATTTTTTCTATGTTATATAATTTCATTATAATTGAATCTTCAATTCCCATTTGCTTATGTGTCTCTCTCTAATGTGGATTCGGCCTTGTTGGTTGTCTATGTTCAAAATTGTTGAATTCTAGCTGCACATTTTAGACTGTAAGAAGCAATGGAATAGGAGATCCTGGCAATTTGCTTTTGTACAACCCTTGTAGTAGTTTGGTAAGTCAAAAGAGACCACGAGGTTGTGAAATTGGCTCTGGGATTTCTGAAGACATGAAATTGTAAATGGTTGATTGCTATTTCTATTATCCTATATATACTCTAGGGAGAACAGTAATAAGAAGACCAAAGAGAATGATCTTTCAAACATTATACTCCATGTAGAATGAAAATAAAATTATATATGTATGCACTTATTGTATTTTTGTAATTAATATTTGTAAGGTTATATATTTGCATGATAATTGTTTGATTCAAAAAACTTACCAAACAATTATATTTTAAGTACTAAATCATACAAAGGGTTAAAATGGTCATTTTCAATCATTCAGGCGATTATTTCAGAACATTTACCAAACAGTCATTTTCGTTCTGCACTAAATCATATAGTCTCTTAATCATTCTGACCACTTATTCATTCTGCACCAAATTATTCAACATCTGCCAAACAACCCCTTGATCCAATGTTCATTCTTCCCCCCTTCTCGAGTCTCGAGTCTCGACTGTTGCCCTCCTGCCTCTCTTACGAGTATCACCTTTGTTCCTTTGCTGGTGTATCGTGAGTTCTCGACCACCGATCGGTAAGTTGACATTAGATAATTCTAGGGTTTAGAATTACTTCATAAAAATCGATCTTTTAATCGAATGAGACTGATTGATATTTGATGCTTTTGTTGAATGATTGGTAGATTCAAATTTTCCATCCTCTAATCTTCCACAACGCACTACATATTTAAATTGGTTTTGGGAACTTTGACATCAAGAATTCAGATTCCACATTTCCAGATCGTCAAGAACTTTGCTAGTATTGTTTAATTACTTGGCAGGGATCCATGATTATTGATTATTTGGGTTAACTGTTAAGTGTTGATGAAACTTGGAAGTGTTAACTATTTAATTACTTGGTAGTCCTCAAACAAATACATGATTTTTGAGTTAATTGTTAACAGTTTAATTACTTGGCAGACATCAACTCTTTTCTTGAAATTGTTAGGATAATTGACACTTTACTTAACATTGTAGGATATTTGACAATTGCTAGTCTTTGCAAATTGTTTCGGTTATTTAACAACCATGGATAGTTTTTAACAGATAGAAAATTAATTGTTGATTCGTCGGAGCCAACTAATGTTGATAATCCTAAACAAAATTGTGTGGAAATCAACTTAGCAGATCTTCCCTTAGACCCTGGAATGCGGATTAGGATCAGTTTTTCCGGCTCCTCCCTTGTGAATAGGCTAGTGAACTTGTCAGATTGTAACCTTAGAATTTATCAGGAAACCGTGGGATGGGTTGCTGAATTAAAGTAGGACAATGAAAAGCAGTTAGTTTCTGTTATCTGTTTTAGAAGTCAATCTTCTAGTTTCTACAATGTTTAAATTTGTAAAACGATAACGAAACATCAGTTAATTTGGGTGAGGCATCAATTGTGTTTCTTGTCCTTTTTCTCAACTTCAACAGAAGGTGATGATGGTTATAGTCCGAGTGAAGACATACAATCCAACCTTAAGCACTAATTCCCATCAACACTAGCCAGCTCTGGTCATAACCATTGAGAAAGATTTCAGCTTCAATGGCTTGACCTTCTCCTTACCTGTGGTTTTTAGTGGTTCTGTTGGTCGAAGTCGGGTGCCATTTTCATCCCCAATGTATGTATGTAGGAATATATGATATTGTAGCCTCTGGTTCAGCCAATAAACTGAAAGATTTCTGATTTTTTCCACCACTTAGAACATGCCATAAAATCAGATAGTTCACAACACGACAGCAGATATATAGCCATTTCCAAGGAGTATGATCATTATTGATGCCTATTACAATTGCCTGATTAGAAAGCCAACTTTTTACTTCTTAAAAATGTTGATTATCGGGTAAACATACTGAATATTGCATGTAATAATTACTTATGCTGATATAATCATTGATTATGCTGAAGCTTAACACTTGTATGACACAGCTGTAGAGAAGCTCAAAACAACCATTTACAGAACATGTGGAATTTGAATATAAGTATTTGGACTGACGGGAAATGAAATTGTTCCTTCAAAATGAAATCATACCACTTATTTGCTAGCGCTTTGACCATCTTCACCATAATTTTGTTCGTTATTCTTGTTAATGCTCATCTTCCTAAAACCATCAATGTTTTCAGCGTTTTACTTTAACAAAGGTGAGGTATATGTGCCATTAATTATGTGTGGTATTCAGTCATATATCATTCGACAGTTAATCAAACATAGGGTTGTAATGGTAATTATTACAAGGCTATCCTTTTAAAACACTTGGTAAACAATCATTTTCGGTAGAGCCTCTTTCTCGGTCGGAGCCTCTTTTCTAGTCATTGCTTAATCACAAAAATGGTAAAAATCCCCTAAACTAAAATCCAAACCATTTATAGCTATTGATTTGAAATTGTTGGAATCATATTCAGAAACCTATACCTTCGATCCTTTCCTGTGAGGGTTGTTCGCCGGAGATGGGGCTCCTCAGCATCATTCGGAAGATCAAGCGTAAAGAAAAAGAAATGCGCATTCTTATGGTGTAAGTAATTGTTTTGCTTGTTATATAGTTATATATGTGTGTGTTTATTTGTGTCCGTATAATTTAATGTTCAATCAACAGGGGACTTGACAATTCGGGAAAGACAACAATAGTGTTGAAAATCAATGGTGAAGACACCAGCATTATCAGTCCTACTCTTGGCTTTAACATCAAAACCATGACCTATGATAAGTATGTACTCTCTCTTGCACACAAATACAAACATTTAGATTTTGATATTGTGATTGCTGCTATTTTGCATGTTTTTTCATTTGCTCATGGCTTTTCTGCAATCTTTACAAACTGACCATTGTTATTGTATAAAATGTAAAAAAAACACTTAAGCATGAAACCATCGAGAATTGCAAAGGTCGCCAACCCCTTATACTTTAAAGTTATTTTTGCATTTTAGCATGTATAAAATGGTTAGGTTGCAAAGAAATTGCAATTGCTGGTTAGAAAACAAATTCACTCTTTCGCATCATGATGGGCTCTGTTCAGGGTTTACAATACCCTTTTGTTTTTTACCCCGGGCCGAGTATTTTAGTAAATAAGTCAAATAGAGTAGGTTATGGTACAAGTGTCTAATGCATTGATCCATGCTTTAGGTAGTATGAATAAAGGGAGCGGGGGGTTAGAAGGGGATCGATCAGTTTGTTGATTCTGTTTTGGGCTAAAGCTTTGGGAGAGATCTAGCCTCTCGAAAACTAGAAAACCTACTGTAATCATCCAATTGATGCCAAATCCATTTCTATTTTATTCAAATTGGTCCAGTGTTCAAAAGAATCATATTGTACAAGACAGAAAATGGTGACACGATGCTAAGTTAATTGATTAAAGTGGTCTTTCTTGCTGCTTTTTGCTAACGATATCCAGTGTTTCTTTCATTATTCACTACCACCTCGATTGCTATTGTGTTTTATTTTTGTTAGGATGTTGTCCGTCCTGAAATGGAGTAACAAGTGAAATGGTTAGAAATGCTCAGGTTTGGGCAAATGTATTTGTACTCTTGTCAGAATACTTAAATGAGTGATTGTGTACTCGACATTAAGTAACAACTACACTGGTTCATATTTACTAGTCACTCATTCCTGATCATTAGCTTCTTTCGTGCAACTGTAAGACTTGGTTTTAGTCATAACTGAAAGTTAATGGCAGATACACCCTTAACATATGGGATGTTGGGGGTCAAAAGACTATACGATCATACTGGAGAAACTACTTTGAGCAAACTGATGGATTGGTGTGGGTTGTCGACAGTTCGGATCTTAGAAGGCTGGATGACTGTAAATTTGAGCTGGATAATCTATTAAAGGAAGAGGTAACTTTCACTTTGACTCTTGTTGCATAACTTTGTATTATGAATTGAATGTTTGTGCATAAGGTTCTTGAGCCTTCAGGGGCCCTTAATCCTAAGTGGTTCTGATGCCATTTCTTTGGAATGTGTAATCCTGCTCATTGTCTCAAACATTATTTTGATGATGTATGTTAGGTAATTTGATTAAAATAGACTAAAACTGTGTAATAAACATGATTATGAGAGTTATATGATTGGTAATTTTTTTGCTCATGTGTGAAGTATATAAATGTTTTTATCTATTTTTCCAACTACTTTCTCTGAACTATATTTGTTTCAGAGAAACATTGAAATAGTAAGCAAGTAGGCATGTTAAAGGCTTATCTTCTTTCCGTTGTGGGTGTTAAGAAACTTTCACACAAATGAAGTATGCTATGATTCCTATAAGTAAGGTACTCCTTGGATATGCATCATTATACATTAAACCATTGAACACCAAAAAGATCGGTACTCGCTACCCTCTGGAGTGCCCCCACCACAACGCCACAGAACACTAATAATACATAGAAAATGGACTTGTGTATTTAACTACATCCGTATCATGTCATACTGGCTTGTATTGTGCTTTCTATATCTTTTACTAAACCTTCCTTGCAAGCTACGGACCTTCTGGACACAACCTATCTATCTATTGGGACAGAGGTAAAGTCTACGTCCCCCCACCCGGCCCGACGACACTACCTCTGGGTGGAATATACTGGTTTGGTTTGGTTTCATATGATGTAACTCGACATAATGAATTGATTAACTTGTTAGGGTCAAGTACATGCCCTTTACTGCATTGAACATATTTGCAAGCAACCATGAATCAAAATGGACTATTTTCTTCTTCATTGACATGGTCCTTGTGTGTGTTCTAGCAACGCTTTACTGCATTTATCTCGGGTTCTCGACAAGTTCATTTATTGGTCAAAGTTGCGAGTTTGTAACCATCTTAAGAGGTTACCATTTTTCATCTTTAATAAAAACGTAGATCTAAAATCTTCTACTCCTTGTGTTTGAAGGAGGTAATTTGACCGTTAAGGTCAAGTAGACTAATTTTCAACTTAAATTTTTAGGACAAACATTGCACCGGCCTTTTATGTGTAGCATCCACTATAGAGTTTGCTTTATTACTGTATATGTTACATCTTTAAATTTAAAGAATTCTGGTCTTAGAGGTAAATTTTAGTGCATTTGACTCCATAATACGACCTCGGAAGACGGGAATATTTTGTCCTTACAGCCCTTGAATCTGTCAATTTCAAAGGCACGGTATATTGTCAAGCAAAACCTAAAGGGAAAAATGAATCAAAATGCAACGAAGTTTGATTTAGTTTCTATTTAATGTAACAAAGATCTTTTTCTCAATTGATTTAATAAAATTTCATTTTTTTATCATGTACCCATTTCGCCTTATGGCATTTCCGGTAAGTATAGGAATACATGGGTACCTGGGATCACTTGGACCATTTCCACATTTGACAAGTAACCTGCTAATCTTGTAACATTTGACGACGTGGATACCCGTTTATGAAAGGTTTACGAAAGGGTTTATGGTGAAATGGACGATGAACTTGATATCCATGTCATCAAATGCTACAAGATCAACAAGGTTTTCGGTGAAAATGGGTAAAAAAATAGGAAATTTTGAACCTCGTTCGAGAAAAAGTTTCTTTGTTACACTAAAGTTAGGAACCAAGGCAAACTTCATTGCATTTTGCCCAAAACCTAAACACCTCGTGTAACAGTTTTTGTAGAATATTGTTAAAAACGATCCTTGATGTATCCTTAGAACGTCTACTCATACATTTTTTTTCTTGTAATGTTGATGCAGAGGCTATCAGGAGCTTCATTACTCGTTTTTGCTAACAAGCAGGATATACAGGGGGCTCTTTCACCTGATGAAATAGCTAAAGTAAGTGTTTTGTTGCTAAAAGATGCACCCAATTATCCACTTTCTATATCGATACAAACTTTCTTACAAATTTGTAGGGATTTCTAGTTATTCTGGAATGATTAAAGAAGAGAAAAAAAAACAAATAAACCACCGGTGTATGTTTGGTATGCGGATAGGACCGGATGAGCGAGAGGGAGGGAGGCGGGTGAAAGAATTATGGCAAGTTTTAGGATTTTAATTTGACATGGGTATTTTAGTAATTTACCCGGCTTGTCTCTTCTCCCTAATTTTTTGTTCCACCAATTTTGGTCCCACCGAGTCATGTCCGGTCTCAATGTAATGTATCAGCCAAGTGTGGACAAGTCTTTGTTTGTCCCGTCTGGGTGTGTTTGGTACACTGGACTGGGACATAACAGAAAAGGGATCACTGTTCCATGCTTGGCAGAACTTTTATGTGGAACAAAGTGAAACGACTGTGTTCCACCCCATCTAATGGAACAAGGTAGAACAAACCTATATTTTACCAATATAACCTTAAAATAAAACATGAATTCTCATCTAAAACATCAAATACGTCCCTCCCCCTTCTTTACATTTTGTTCATTCTTTAAATTTTATTTATCATATTTTATGATCTTTAAACTTTTACTTTACTGTCCTCAAAATATATAAAAGATATAAACAACACAGTAGGGGTAAATTGCTCATTTTATGTGTTCTTTTTTGTCCAGTTCTGTCTTACTAAACACTGAACATTTGTCTCGCTTGTCTGCATACCAAACGCACCCTCTCTGTCTCTGGTACCAAATGCACACTCGGTGCACCAAAATTATGCAACAACATAAAAAATGCATGTTTTAAACCGCAATAAATGTATGACCCTCCCCCCAAAAAAGTTCTTGTTTAATGAACGATTCGGGTGACCGCAAAAAAGTGTTATAATGACTTCACTCTCTTGAAAGAAAGATTATTAATTCCCATTTAATTTGCTTGATGTTCGTCTATGATGACTTTTAAGGTACTGAACCTGGACGCGATGGATAACACCCGCCATTGGAGGATTGTAGGTTGCAGTGCATACACCGGAGACGGGTTGCTAGAGGGATTCAATTGGTTAGTTCAAGACATTGCTTCACGTATTTACGTTCTTGATTAGTTGGCCACATCTCGTTATCTACCAATGGCCGCGAAGAAGAGTTTGCGATCGAATTTTGATATAGCGTATTATGGGTATGTCAAGATCTGTAGACATCACTGCAACTTCTGTGATCAGGAAATATGGAGAACTTCATGTTGAGATTCCAAAATTTTATTCCCTCCATATTTCTATATGAATTAGCCCCTAAAATAAGCGCCCATTTTTATTATGGATATTTATTTTGGATGGATAAAGTATTACAAATATTGCATGTTATGTGATGCAGATTGCATGTAGAAATCCCAAAAGATTTATTTATAAATATTGCATATGATTCGGTGGTGCCTGATTGGTTTGATCTTGGGTTCCAAAGGTCACAAGTGTCTAGAGTTCTCATGTTCAAATAGAAATAAAAATCCTCTTGTGACCATGGACTATGGAGATTCAAATGCGGTGACTCTGGGCTACCCCAAAACAGGTGGTTGTCTTGAGATTAGTCAACTCGCATAGCGGGTTGGATATCCAGTTTAAGATAGATATAAAATATGAAGAACTAATTGATAATTTTTTGTGACCATATTCAAAAACTTGTATTTGGAACGGTCGGGAACGTGAAAGGAGGCCTCATGCCCGATTGTACCAAAGTGTAAAGTTGTTCCCTAGGCTCGAAACTTACAAAACCATTTTTAAAGAACTTAACGTACGACGTACGTCATATTTATTCCTTTTTGTTATGACCCTACTTGTGTTTCGGTATTCATGCTACAATCTTGAGGGTATTTATGTCATTTCACCTTTGTACTTGTTTTCTCGTATAACCTTGTTCGAGTTTTGGGGTATTTTTGTCATTACCAAAATATTCAAACTCTTGTCACAGAACCATGACTCAATGAGTTGTACTGAGAGAGGCGGTTCTAACAATTTTTGGGCATGGTGTCACAAAAATATTTTCATATTGATATATACTAAAATAAAAGTAGAGCTAAAATACAGTTTCATAAAAAAAACGAGATATAAGCTACTGGTTACAATCGTTCCCTACGGGACTTCCATCTTTTTGAAGCGGTAGAGTATGTTTTCGTTCATGGCCAAGGCAAGCACGCTCGTCTCTTACAGAACAAGTGACAAAATCATTCAAAAAGTCTTCACCAATCCAATGGCGAATGCATACATGAATGCAATTAACATTAAAAATGTGTATTTAATAGAGATTAAATACTGTATTTACCATACATATATATTTAATAGAGATTAAATATTGTATTTACCGTGCATGAATACAGTTAACATTAAAAATATGTTATCTTTTATTTGTGTTAACATTAAAAATATAATTAATTTTTAAGATACTAAATATTGGGCTTGTTTCTAAGGTATAGATGAGACCTTTTTAATAGTGTAATTTGTAAAACAAAATACGTATTTTTAATGTATTTTAGCTAATAATTAACTAACTGGAAGAGTACTCGTGCAATGCAGCGAGACACATCTCGATTTTAATATTCTATTTTGTTATTTGTCTCTGTCGATGCTATAATACGATTTTATGTGTTTTAATAAAACAATAATGATTATATTTTTTAATAAAATATAAATTTGAAAATATCATAAAAAATTGAAAAAAAATATATATCAATGTTAATATCAAATCAATCATTTAAAAGTTCTCATTTTTTATGTAATTTTTTTAATTTATTTTTTTATTATAATTTAATTTAAGTTTAATAACGAAATAATTTATTTTTGGTTTAATAATATAACATTTTATAAATATAATAATTAAGTATTCTGTTAGAATTCCATGATTATCCTAATTATATTTTAGATTTTTTATATTTAAAATGAGATCTTTATCATGTATTTGATTATGTTTATCTGCAGTTAGTTACATCACATGAATTCAGATATGAAACTTTAATAAGTTGTATTTATGCACAATCTACTTGCAATCTTGAGTTTTAAGTAATATGCATTAATAAACAATACTTTAAACATAAAAAAGTAGTTTTTAAGAGTTTTTGTCAAATGTTTTATAATATAGTATAAATTATGTGTTTTTAAGAAAACAATAATGATTTTATTTTTGAATAAAATATATATTTGAAGATATCATAAAATTTTGAAAAAATATATATCAATGTTAATATCAAATCAAYYATTTAAAAGTTCTCATTTTTTATGTAATTTTTTTAATTTATTTTTTTATTATAATTTAATTTAAGTTTAATAATGAAATAATTTATTTTTGGTTTAATAATATAACATTTTATAAAGATAATAATTAAGTATTCCGTTAGAACTCAATCATTATYCTAATTATATTTCAAATTTTTTATATTTAAAATAAGATATTTATCATGTATTTGATTATGTTTATCTGCAGTTAATTACACGAATTCAGATATAAAGTTTTAATAAGTTGTACTTACGCACAATCTACTTGTAATCTTGAGTTTTAAGTAACATGCATTAATAAACAATACTTTATACATAAAATGTGGGTTTTAAGAGTTTTTGTTAAATACTTTATAATATAATATAGATATAGATATGAGAGATTCTATTTTTTTTAGTAACCTGGATATCCAACCCGTTATGCGAGCCGACTAATCCCAGGACGACCACCTGCTTTGCAGATAGCCCGGAGTCACCGCATTTGAACCTCCGTGGTCACATAGGAATTTTTATTCATCATTGGATTTGAATCTGGGACCTTCTAGTAATCTTAACCTTTGAAGCCATGATCAAACCAATCAGGCACCACCATCATGATTAAGATTCTATTTCATTTTCTACCAATCAAACATGTGGTCAAATTTCATTCCAGTTATTTTCAAATTAAATTCTTCTGATGGATTTTAATTTTACCAAATTTCTTCTTGAACCAAATGCTGTTGTGGTCCGCACTTGTATATTTCAAAGAAATTACACAAAACCTTTTATGTTGCATGCTTGAATGGGAAAAAAATAAATATTCAATTTAAATTAATAAAAAGTTTGGGCTCAATATGAACTATGAAGATAGTCTCCGTCCCTGCACAAATATGCTATGTCCGCCATTACAATAGCCCAATGCATTGTTCAAAGGAGGAGGTTAACCGCCATGGACAATCGGACCAGGTAGTTATGGAGGTAAATGCGAAACAATGTCGTTTTGGCGAATAAACCGACTAAGGTATTTTCACTGGAGGCCAGAATTTGAAGGAAGAGCACAAACATGGTGCATACTGCATACGATTCGATCGAACTGCTCAATGATTGTCCTAAGAAGATCAATGCCGTCGTACACTACGGCTCCACCCTTCTTGTTGCTTGCTGCGACGGATCTCTACGAATCTACGCTTCAGAATCCGGCAACCGAGATCCGTCCTCTGATCGCCTCTCTCAAACCCTGGAACTTAAGAAGGAGCTGTACGTGCTTGAACGAACCATCAATGGATTTTCCAAGAAGCAATTGTTGGCAATGGAGGTGTTGGCATCAAAAGAGCTTCTGCTTTCTCTATCTGAGTCGATTGCGTTTCATAGGATACCCAATTTTGACGCACCAGCGGTGATTTCGAAGGCGAAAGGAGCCAATGTCTATTCGTGGGATGATCGCAGAGGGTTCTTGTGCTTTGCTAGGCAAAAGAAAGTCTGCATTTTCAGACATGATGGTATATTTCTCTGAAAATTTTGTTTACATTTTAATTGAGAATACATGGAAATGTGACTGTCTGATTGACATATGAGAAATATTTCATTTATAGCTCTGCAGAAGATCAGAGAGTTGCAATTTATCCTTTTTTTTATCAGAGTGTGGAGAAATAAGTCATCAACTAAATATCGATGGTAAAGCTGATATCCATAAGGTGTCAGATGTGAACGCAAATGCAAATGTTATGCTGGAATATGGTTTTACCTCAAAAGTTGTTTTCTTCTGCAGGAGTACGGGGATTTGTGGAGGTGAAAGAATTTGGTGTTCCAGATACAGTCAAGTCAATGTCTTGGTGTGGGGAAAATATATGTCTGGGAATTAAAAGAGAATACGCCATATTGAATGCCACAAATGGTGCACTGTCGGAGATCTTCCCATCGGGGAGGACTGCTCCACCATTAGTGGTGTCTCTTCCATCTGGAGAACTTCTTTTGGGGAAGGTAAAATATACTCTCATTGTATGGGGAAGGGGGAGGGGGAAGACTGGAAACTGGAACCAACATTGTCAACTTTCTGTAGTTGTTACATAACCCAACTATTAATTTTATTGGGAAATTAACAAAAGTAGCCATTTTCGCCGACCAAATTTACCTCTTAAGCCATTTCTCTCCCACTTTTTCAATAAAATCACCACCTCGACAAGTAAACCATTCCTCAACTTGCGGAGGGGGTATTTTTAACAAAAGTGGTTAGTCTTTGAGTTTTTCAAGACCTATGAGTGTACTGACTTTTCTTGAAAAATGGGAAATAATCATAATGACGGCACTTGAGGAACCATAATTGCGACACTTGAGCCAAAATGGGAAGGAACCTCTGCAATTTTGATGCCCCTCCGCAAGTGGCACTAGCTGAGTTTGGTAAGAAGAGTGGCGCTACTTGAGGTTTTTTAGAAAAATGCCGCTCCGCAAGTTGAGGATGTGTTACTTGCAGAGGAGGTAATTTTGTTGAAGTACCCGGAGAGGAATGGCTAAGAGATGAATTGGTCCGGCCAAAATGGCTAATTCTGTTGATTTCCTTAATTTTTGGTTTTGTTGTTTTTGCTTAGGATTAGTGTAGTTGATGATCTTTACTGTGCTTTTCTGTTCATATTGATGTCATATTGCTTTTGTATTTTTCAGATAGAGAGGTATGCCTTGTCAATTGTATGTAACTGCTAAAATGAGGTGTTTGGGTAAAGTGAAGATTAGGGTCTTACATACTTCAGATTTCTTTATATGATTAAGTTTGTAGTTAATTATCTTACTTGTGGCCTTCAGAACAAGGACCTAAGTGAAGTGTACCATTCTGCAGCAATATATGTGTATCATGTGTTGGTGAGTTCTTAATCATGTCTTAGTCTAAAAAATGATGATTTGAGATCTGTCAATGAGGTACCCATTAGGTGGCTCACATAATAGTTTAAGAGAGCACCACATAGGGCATTATGAGGTTTGTGAATTGAGTTGTCAGTCTTAATTCAGCAGCTCCAAGAAAATTATTTCGTTGTGTCTGATTTTATTTGTCTTTCCATTTCGAAGTACATTACTCACTGAATTCTAATCTCCACAAATAGGTAACGTTGGTCAACTTTCAGTCATTGGTTCATCATTAGAAATGAAATTTATCTGGAACCAATAACTTTCAGCTACCGTGTTTCTCAACTTCCAATGAAGGACAAGGGCTCTTCATTCTGTTTGGGTACTTAGTTTAGGTATAAGAAGGGTTTAGTCTGGGAGAAGCTGTTGTAAGATCATGGTCATGTCTTAGTGAAGCAAATGATGATGTGACACTCTTCAATTATAGGCATCAATGAGAGATCTGGCTGAACAGTCCTGGGAGCACCTCCTATGGCATTTTGAGCCTTTATGAATTTTGGTGTCAATCCTAATGGAGCAGCTCCAAGTAAGTAATTGCATCGTCTGTGATTTTTCATCTATCTTTTCTTGTCCACCTCTTCATCATTGAAAATCTACATAAAATAGGCTAAAGCTATTCACAATTAGAAACAAAATGCCAGCTGGAAGCCTGGAACCAATAACTTTCAGAACTACATGCTTCTCAACTCGAAAGAAGATAGCCTGTCAGTCTGTTTAGTGTACTTTGCTAGTTTGCAATGTATAACAAAGATATGAGTGGAGTCAAATTGTAGAAGTATTAGTTCAAGACTAGATGACAATGAACTTCTGTGAAGTGGGTGGATAGAAACTTCTGATATCTGCCCATAGAGTTCAAATTGATCACTGGCTGTGTGGCTCATGAACTCGATAGTCCTCATTCTTTCCTTTTCTTCTCCATAATTGTTTTCGTTTTTTCTCAAGATTTATGAGTAATGATGCATGCAAATACTGAGTTTGGATCTAAGAGCATAGGGGAAAGATGGGGTGTAAAGAGGGAGTAATTTCCCTCATCTCAGTTATCTTATTCTTCATGTTCGATAGTATTTTAGACGTTGGGCCTCCAACTCCAGAGCCACCTGCCTGATCTCTATCAACACCATTTTTTGTCAGGATAATATTGGCGTGCTTGTGGACCAAAATGGCAAACTCCTTCCAGAAGGCAGAATTTGTTGGTCTGAGGCCCCTGCAGCAGTTGTCATTCGGCAGCCGTACGCTATCGCGCTTTTACCGAAACACATCGAGGTGTCTTAACAATCTACTCCACCAAAATTAATGCTATTTTCTTATTTATATTAAACAATTGAGATATTATTACTTATACACTGTGCTCCACTCGAGTAACAGATCCGATCTCTGCGAGTCCCTTACCCGTTGATACAAACTATTGTTCTACGCAATGTACGCAGTATTCAACAAGGAAGTAATGCCATAATCGTTGCCCTAGAAAAATCTATATATGGATTGTTTCCTGTTCCTCTCGGTGCACAGGTTTGTCTTTTGCTATGCAAAATAGTTGTATACTTGTATATTATGTAAAGGTGTATGCTTGAATTTTACATATGCCATTTACTTGAAGATCTGGAGCAGGCATGGGAATGGGGCGGGGACCTCAATCCCCGTCCCCGACTACTTATCTCTTTCCCCGTCCCCGTCTCCATCCCCGCCGGGGAATATAATCACATCCCCATCCCCAACGGGGAAACGGGGATTTTTTTTTTCCGTTTATATAAGTTATTTTAAATTAAATATGAGAGAGACCATACATGTTTAAATCTAAAACATTTTTAATAAACCTAAAACCAAAATGAATTTAATTTAATACAAAAAAAACCACAACATCATATAAGAACTAATAACCTAAAACCAAAAAAGTTCAATTAAATCCAAAAAAACTTAAAGTCACGTGTACCAAAAGATATTGAGTAATATAAAATCATATCGAGTAATATACAAAACTTATCGAGTAATTGTATTTTGACTTGACATCCAAAATATTCCATATTAACATAAAAAAAAAACAATTTAGATTATAAACCTAGTTTGGAAATAAGAAATTATGAACTACCGCTTTAGTTGAAATAAATAATATATATATATATATATATATATATATATAACGTGTACGGGACGGGGCGGGACGGGACGGGGAGTACCATATGTCCCCATCCCCGGTTTTAGACAAACGGGGATCCCCCTCCCCGTGGGGACCAGGGCGGGTGGACCAGGTTCCCGACAGGTCAGGGCCTATTCCCATGCCTAATCTGGAGAAGTGTGTGCAAGCATGATGAAATTAGCATTCATCTTTTTTTCATTTTTAAATCTTCCCGGTTGACATCTGCAAACTAGATACAAATTACCCCACACACTCTTTCAGTTCTTTATATGTGTGTCTATTAGCTATGAGTTGTTCTCGTGGATTTCACATAGGTGTCATTTTACAAACTGAATTTATTTACGGAAAGACGAATGTATTTTTACTGAAGCAATCTAACTTCAAGCCTGTATGACTAATTATTTACTGAAATTTTAACCACTTTTACCACCGTGTCATACTTTTTAAGCCTCAGACTCAATCAAGATAAAGGCAGATGTATTTCAGTCTCACGATCTAATGAATTATAAAAGACTACTAAAGTTTCATGTGTCTGTCTTCTGGTACAATATATTCTCAGGTTTGGGTGCATGATGACTGCTAACTCTATGATACCTATATCTTCATCCCAAACTTAACTAATATCCCTATGGAAAAAATTATGCTCATTGTACTTCCCTCAAGGAGCAACTAAAATATGGAGTTAATAAAGCCTAAATTTTTAAACCTCCCCTATGGTCACAAAATGCAAACCTTTCTTTATAGGGCTTGGTTGCTTCCGTAGAATCAAGATGTTGTATGTTCAATGCAGATTGTACATCTGACAGCATCTGGAAACTTCGAAGAAGCCTTGGTATTATGTAAGTTGCTTCCACCAGAAGATTCAAGCCTACGAGCCTCCAAGGAGCAGTCAATTCATATTAGGTAATTATAACCTGGATACTTTTGATTATGGGTAATCATGACAAACTAAAAGTATCTAAAAATTTGATGCTCATGTTTTGCTTTATTCACATTCTTGAATGTTAATATGCCATTATATAAAGATATTTCCTTATATTTTGTGAGATTATGGTTTTTTTCCTAATCCTGATAGAAGGTATTGATCAAATTCTGACATTCAGATTTGTCAATGAAGAGATCCAAGTTTTTTGGTTTTTGTTTGATACCATTCCTACTTCAACTTGTATTTGTAGCGTCCTCAATTTTTTTTTTCATATTTAGTAGAAATTCAATCTAAGGATGCAAGTGTCGCGTTGCCTTAAGTTATGGATCAAAATAGTTGCTTGGTTTATGAGTAGTTACTTCTGATACACATTTCAGAACCACGAAACTGAGGTATAGCTTGTAGTAACAGTGGTATCACATTGGGTGCAGGAACTAGAGTCGCATTGATTTTTATATGGTGTACATGTTCAGTGATTTCTCTGAAATCCTTTTCAATTTGATGTTTGGTTCAAAGATTTACAAAAATCTGGGGCAAAATTGTTAATATTTGCTAAAGAGAAGACTTGATTTTCTGGAGATTCCAACGTGTCACATAGCCACATTTCCGTTGTTAAATTCTTAAAATGGCATTAACAATTTAAGGGGTACACTTCGATTTTTGAGGTCAAATTGATCACTTTTCAAATTAGAAGTTATATGGATTTAACATAACAAATTTTCAATTGTGTTAGAAGTTACGTGTTCATGAACTTCCCTCAGAAAGTTAATGGTTTATACAGATTTGGAATTTGAAAGTTATATTGTTTGACCTCTGATAACACCTTTCTATAAGGTATTTTCTTTCAAGAAAACAAACTTATGAAATTTATCATAATGATGATCAACCTGAAAGAAAGGTTCATTTGCAACAGAGAGAGGAGAATAATGTAATAATCACAGAATATGCAAAGATAAGAGAATATTTTGTTGTCCAATTGTACAGATATGCACACTATCTCTTCGAGAATGGAAGCTATGAGGAGGCCATGGAGCACTTTGTGGCTTCTCAAGTAGAAATAACTCATGTGCTATCTCTATATCCATCTATTGTTCTTCCTAAGTCGTTTCCGGCTGCTGAACCAGAAAAAAGTGTTGATATAGATAGGGAGCCATATTTATCAAGAGCCTCGTCCTGTGCATCCGAGGATATGGACTCTTCTCCAACTGGTCTGCTACTGGAATCTGATGGAAGTTCAGCTGTCGACTCCAAGAAAATGAGCCACAATACTTTAATGGCTCTGATCAAGTTCTTGCAGCAGAAAAGATCCAACATAGTTGGAAAGGCAGCTGCCGAGAGCACAGAGGAGGTTGTTTCAGATGCTGTCGGACATACCTTTGTTTCTCAAGAAAGCAGCCGATCGAAGAAGTCAAGCAAGGTAACAAATATCTTCCCTGTCGGACATACCTTTGTTTCAGATACAGTCACATTGATTTTTCTTACATGCACACACATGACACATGCATGTGATAAGTTCTATGCCATGATATAGAGATCCATATTATTTGTATCCTAATCAATGCTTTAGCATTTCAGATATTTAAGGCAGTCTTACCAAACAGTATAAAGAGGTAGATTGCAGTATGTTCTAATTTGTAGTTTCTTTTGGTTCTTCAGGGACGACTTAACATCCCTATTGACTCGGGTGCTAGAGACATGGCAGCAATATTGGACACTTCACTTCTGCAGGCTTTACTTCTGACCGGCCAGACTGCTGGTGCTTTAGATTTACTGAAAGGTTTCAACTATTGTGATGTGAAAATATGTGAGGAGATCTTGCAGAAAGGAAATCACGATGCTTGTTTGTTAGAGCTTTACAAATGCAACTCAATGCACCGTGAAGCTCTCATACTTCTTCATCAATTAGTGGAGAATGCCAAATCGGATGAACCAAAAATCGTACTCCCCCAGAAGTTCAAGCCTGAGATGATAATTGATTATCTCAAAGTAAGTTACTTTAGATATAATAAGATTATTTTCCCTCGTTTCAGTTTGAATGCTTAGAAGTTTCTAACGTTTTGCTTTCCTTAATATCCCAGAGTATTTAACTTTTACGATTGTATCCCTTTTCAAATTTTCAATTATGGCTGCTGCAAACCTTTGGACTTGGAGACAAGTGTAGAATTGACCAGCATTGGAATACTTGAATTTCTTTTATGACCCACAAAATGGAATTTGATGTTTGGAAGTTCAATTTTCTTGATTATGGTGTAATTTTTGTAATCGTTTTATGTTTATCATGATAAATCTCGAAGTTTCATGATCATCTTTCTTTGTTAAGTAATATGTTTTTGATTTCTCTGGAGCTTGTTTAGATGTGGTGATAAGCAAAGTGATAACCAGATTGGATCTAGAAGAATGTGTATCTGAGACATATAAGTTCTCATGTGCAGCCTCTCTGCGGGAGTGACCCTATGCTTGTACTGGAATACTCAACGCTTGTTCTTGAGAGTTGTCCAACACAAACTATTGACCTCTTTCTATCGGGAAATATTCCTGCAGACTTGGTTAATTCTTACCTAAAACAGCACGCTCCAAGCTTGCAGGCCTCATATTTGGAGTTGATGCTCTCAATGAATGAAAATGGGATCTCCCAGAATCTGCAGAACGAAATGGTAACATTCTTATGCTTTTTTACTAGGTATTTGAATGGTGTAACAAAAAATTATAAAGACTTTTTACTTTTGTGCTGATATGTTATAACTTTATGAAAGAAAGTTATAAAACTTTTCTGCTTATATGTTAAAAAAACAAAGTTAAGAAAAGAAGTGCTGTAGGAAAGTGTTTATATTATACCTGAGAAATAATGTGAAATGCTTTTATAATATTTGTCCAACCACAATGATTTTTTTATGTTTGTAGCAAATATGGTATCTAGACCAAGAAAGATCTTTCAACTTGTAAATAACTCCACATTCATAGTAATCTTTTTTTCACCACAAATTCAGTAGAACTCTGTTTCTTTTTCCTTTTTGTATTTTGAACTTAGAGAATACAGATACAAAATTTGAAGAACTATTGAAAACATAAAGGGGGGATCTGCACAGGATGCCAGCGTATAAAAACGAAAAATGAACAGAACATAGAGGTTTTTCCCTAGTTTTCTGGTTAATTCCTTAGACCCCCATCTACAGGACCACTCTTTTTACTTGTTCTTAGTGCATGAAGTAGTAATTTTCTGTTTCAGGTGCAAATTTATCTTTCAGAAGTGCTTGATTGGTATGCTGATCTCACTGCTCAAAAGAAGTGGGATGAAAAAACTTACACCCCAACTAGGAAAAAACTCATATCTGCATTAGAGGGTATTTCCGAATATAATCCAGACATTATGTTGAAGCGAATCCCAGCTGATGCTTTGTATGAAGAGCGAGCAATCTTGTTGGGGAAAATGAACCAGCATGAACTTGCATTATCCATATACGTTCATAAGGTATAGAACCGGTTTATTGAGTCTGTGAACATGATGATTCAAAGGCTAGGGACACATTTTATTTTAGCATAAGTTTCTTGAATCAGCAAAATCCTTTTCATGGGAGTTTGTTTTCTTCATATTGCAGCTTCATCTTCCTGAACGGGCACTATCCTATTGTGATCGGGTGTACAACACAGGACTTCATCAACAGTATGGAAAAGCTCAGGGCAATATATATCTAATTTTACTGCAAATCTATTTGAATCCTCGGAAAACAACCAAAACATTTGAAAAGAAAATTACTAATTTAGCATCTTCATCGAGTAGTAGCAATTCCAAGTCTGGTTGGTCAACACTTAAAACTAAAGGAAGAGGCTTGGGTAAGAAAGTCGCACAAATTGAGGGTGCAGAGGGTACCAGAATCAACACAAGTATTCCTGATAGCGGGAAAAGTGATTTTGAAACGGATGATCCTGTTGAGGAAGGAAGTTCCACGATCATGCTTGATGAGGTCCTCGATGTACTGATCCAGAGGTGGGACCGGGTCCATGGAGCAAAAGCCTTGAGACTCTTGCCTAGAGAGATCAAGCTACAGGTATCACCTTCCCTTGCTCTTCTACCTTCATTTTCAAATTTCAGAAGTTCGCTTCCATGTTTGGCAACCATAAGCTAGCTTATAAGCTAATTTTTTTGAGCTTATTGAAAAACCCCTGTTTGGTTAGCCATAAGCTAGCTTTTCGAAATAGCGTTACAACAAGCTCCAAGAGCTTTTTTCCACTTTGTTCCTATTATGCCACTTATATTTTTCCAATTACTCTTTCATCATGTTCTTTAAGTCATTTTACATTGTCGTCTACCTTATTAACTAGTTTTACCAAACATGACTAGTCTATTGGCTAACAAGTAGTGGTCAACAACCAGCTTTTAAGTTAGTTTGCCAAAAATAGCTAGTCATATGTTGGTGACAACCACTTGATTACATACACACACATATATATATATATATGTATCTTGTCAAAAGTTGCAACTTTTGTGGGACGAATGAAGTGGTTAGCTTAAGTAGATTAAAGGCTATCATGTATCAGTAACTGTTGGGAATAAATTTGGAGTCAACACAACTTTTAGACTTCATCAGGTCACCGGGTTGTCTTTGGGTCATTCTGCTGTATATGATGATGACTTTGTTACATATACTCGTCCTCTGCCTAATGTTTTTCGGCTTTTGAGGGTTTCTATTTCTTGTTTGAATATTCAGAACTTGCTCCCATTTCTTGGACCTCTTCTCAGAAAAACCAGTGAAGCATGTCGAAACTTTTCAGTGATCAAGAGCCTGAGACAATGTGAGAGCCTCCAGGTATGTTTACTTTTCCCATGCTCTAAAACCTTCAAGTTTTTTTAAATGAACCCTGTATATAGTGTGAAAATTAGGTTGTGTTTATTTTGGTAATAATTTTTATCATTTTGTGGGGCTCCATTTATATGGTGTGAGGAAAAAATGAGAATAAACCAAACCAAATGAGCGCAGTATATCCAACCCGGAGGTGGGGTCGGTGTTAAGATGTACGTAGACCTGACATCTACCTTTAAGAGTGGATCCCCAACTTGTGGAAAATGTGTGAAAAAGAAAGGCATGTATGCTAAATTTTGAAAAGCCGAATCATAGGTAAACAGTATCAGTAGAAGCAAACCACAGCTGATTGGTTTGAGCTTGGCTTCAAAGGTCAAAAGTACCAGGAGGTCCTAAGTTCAAATCCAAGGAGGAATAAAAATCCCCTTGTGGCCAAGGAGGTTCAAATGCAATGACTCCGGACTATCTGCAAAGCAGGTGGTCGCCCTGGGATTAATCGGCTCGCATAGCGGGTTGGATATCCAGGTTAATCAAAAAAAATATCAGTAAAAGCAAATACAAGAAAAACATAACAAAGGTCCGGAAACTACATGGTTCTAGTAATCAAACCCTAGCCCTTGCTCTCTACCTCTTCAGCTCCCTTCCTCCCATCTTGCTCTCCACCCCTAGTCGGCTATTTAGTCTTGCGTCTTCAAGAACTCGTGTCTAAGATCATGTCTTTGGAATTGCCTAAAACCGTCATGTCGAGCCTTGGAAATGCCTAAAAAGTAGAATGTGATACTGAAATACATTTCTAATATTACTATGAACCAACCATACTACCATGCCCTGAAAATATTGACTTCTAGCTAAAACAAGAACAAAATAAACTGAAAAATCAGAACATCACCAAGCAAAATCCTAACAACTACCCAAAACCACCAATTTACCCATGGTGTCATATGACTAAAACTATGTACCACTGTCGTGCAAGTCCTCAGGGTGTGTTTGGTACATTGGACAAGACAAAATAGAACAGGGATCACTGTTCCACATTTGATTTGACTTTTATATGGAACAGACAGGAAAAAATTACATAAATTAATCAAAATATATAAACAAATCATTAGGGATAAATTGGTCATTTTATCTGTTATATCCAGTCTAGTTCTATCATACCAAATGATGAATAGTTGTTTTGTCATTTTTTGTCTCATACCAAACGCACCCTTAGGGTGCGCGGACAGGACAGGACAGGACAGCTGTTCAGCGTTTGGTAAGACATAATAGGATAGGACAGGACAGGTTAAAATGACCAATTTACCCCCAGTAACCTGTTTAGTGTTTTTTTCTCTAAATAATCAATATAATAAATGCTTACAAATACTATTTAAAAATATCAAAAAATTTCCAAAATCAATTGTAATTAAAAACTCACATTAATAAATCAAAAGATTTAAACATCATATTCACAAACAAAAATTGAAATGTTTCCCAACAGACAAACACAAAAGATCAAATGTTTACAATTGTGTACCAAAAGACTTCAACACAAAAKATCAAATGTTTACAATTGTGTACCAAAAGACCTAAACACAAAAGATCAAATGTTTAGCAACCAACATCACATGTCTAACTTTTTTAAGATAGTAGCCACAAATTTTGGCTTCAAAGTAGCGTTCATGCTATTCCATAGGCGTAGTTGAATCGGGTTATCGGCAAAGTACATGCTAATAGAAATTAACAAGAAATTAACAAGAAATTAATCATCATCAAAACCCACAGAAATTAACAAGAACCCTAGAATCAAGAACGAAAGGAGATGTCGTTCACTACTCACAGATCGATTGCGTACCTGGGTATGGAGAGAAGAGACGCGATGGAGGCGATGGAGGCCGTCGATTGAAACTCGCCGGCCGTCGATTGAAACTTGCCGTCGACAGGAGGAATCGATGGAGACGATGGAGCGATGAAAAAGGGTTGGTCGTTCTTCAATATTGCAGCCGGGTGGGAAAAGGGTAAAGAGGGAAATAGGGTTGTGTTCCACTTAGTTCCAGGGGGGTAGGATGGAACACGCGTGTTCAAGGTTTATCCAAGTTAGTTCCACTTAGTTCCACATTGGGCCGCACCAAACACAAGACAAATGTGTTCTGGCCTGTCCTGTCCCACCCTGTCCAGCGTACCAAACGCACCCTTAAAGAACAACTGGGACCCTATCCACCCTATCTCTACAAAGGCAAACCAGGTGTCACACCGTTAGACTAGAATGTAAATAACAAAACAGTGGTTAGGATTACCGATGATGGTCTAACTTAGGAGTTCTTCACTACTGAACAACTGTTGCTGCCAAAATTTAGTGTTCTTTACAATACACAATTCTAATGTGGTCCAAATCTCAACTGGCAAATAAACACAGGGTCTTGCGACTCTAGGTCGCTGGTCCGAGTCTCCTCAGGACCACTAGGGATTTTCCTGGCCGTTATCTTCGAGGTTTGGGATTATTTAAGGTGCATGCAAGCCAACAACGATTACAAAAAATGTACACATGGGCCATGGTCAACAGATCGTTATTGTAGCTAGGGTCGATTAAAACAACCGAAAACCAAATAAATGAAAAAATCGAACCGGACAGATAACAATAAGCGTTTCGGTTATCACATTCAGAGTGGCGAAAACCATAATATAGAAATGGAAACACAAAAATGTTACAATAAGGTTCTTTAAATCTTATGAATTGAATCAACTTTCCTTGTGTTTTATTGTTTTGAAGCATATTCAAGTATGAGAAATTAAATTCGAATATTATTGTGTGTGAGAAATTTATTATCAATTGTTGTGAGATTAAAGCTTTAAAGCTTTTGTATAAAAACTAGGGGTGTGCGTCAATAGGAACTGGGATGGACCGAAACTGAAATCTGAATCGGTTCACAACCATTTTGATTATGATCGGGTTCAACAGAACCGTGAACCAGATATATAATTGGGTTTGTTATAATTTAAAAAATATAAATATAAAATAACATCTTTAAGTTAAAAAATGGTTTAAAAAAATTAAAACCGAACCAAATATTTTCAGTTCTTGGTTTTATTGTTACAAGATATCATATGTATATTTTGTGGTTAGTTCTATTGACAACAAAATTTTCGGAGATCCTCCTTAGAGGTTATCGATTCGAGTCTATAGTGTTATTAGGATTTTTCTGACTGTTCTCCATTCCCTTATGATTAGTCGAGGAGCTGCATAAGCTGGCACGGATACCATGGTTAACAAAAAAATTGAGATTTTTAGTTGGTGTGAAAGAGTCATATAGATGTGAAACTCACAAGTTCATGGTCATTAGCAAATGTTACAAGATATTGATTTTGAATATTTCTATCTTGTTTTTTTTATTAACCTGGATATCCAACCCGCTATGCGAGCCGACTAATCATAGGGCGACCACCTGTTTTGCAGATAGCCCTAAGTCACCGCATTTGAACCTCCGTGGCCACAAGGGGATTTTTATTTCTCCTTGGATTTGAACCTGGGACCTCCTGGTACTTTTGACCTTTGGAGTCAAGCTCAAACCAATCAGACACCACCCTTGTGGTTTTCTATGTTGCTTTTCAAGCAACTAATTATTGAAAATGTCGTGTAGATTACGAAACAATTCATAAAATATATATAAGAAAACATATAATTACCGAAAATGTTATTTAAATCGAGATTTTAATCAACTTCATAATAGAAATCTTAAAGTAGATCAAGATTTTAATGGTCTAGAATTGGATTAAATACTTTTTTCTAGTAACCGCTATAATTTTGCTGAATTGTTGTTTGATTATGCATTTTAAACAAGTGTTGGATCATGATGCATACACAGGTTAAGAACGAGCTGTATATCCAAAGAAAAGCAGAACTGAAGATCACATCCGATAGCGTATGCTCGCTTTGCAATAAAAAGATCGGAACCAGCGTTTTTGCAGTGTATCCGAACGGAAACACCATCGTCCACTTTGTTTGCTTCCGAGACGTCCAGAATTCAAAAGCCACCAGAAAAGGATCGTTCCTAAGGAGACGATAAACACATTAAGTTCACTTTCGATATGAGATCTGTTGTTCTCTTTCTTCCCTAAATAAGAGCCTCAACAATGGTGGATTTTTTTATTGAAACTTTCTCCAAAAATGAGACCCACAAGCAAAAAAGAACAGATTATAAGACAATCTCCAATAGAAACATTAAAATTTACACAAACCAACCACAAAGGTGGTGTCTGATTGTTTTGAGCTTGATTCCAAAGGTCAAAAGTATCCGGAGGTCTCGGGTTCAAATCCAATGAAAATAAAAATTCCCTTGTGGCCACGAAGGTTCAAATGCAGTAACTCTTGGCTATTTGCAAAACATGTGGTCGTCTTGAGATCAGTCGGCCCACATAGCAGGTTGGATATTCAGGTTAATTAAAAAAAAAGAATTACACACTTAAACGGGGAAAATAAATCTTACACCAAATTTGGTATATTACTATTCATTTACATCAAGGAAAAAAAATTACTATTTGGTGATACCCATTATAGTAAATTTATCGTTTGCATTAATTTCATACCAATTTGTTGGATTTTATAAAATTTAGGGGTCGTTTAGCAGACCCTAACTCGGGTAAGTGAATATCAAGTCACATCATCTTACCGGATGAACATGATAAGGAACAAGAATCTTACCCAGTAAGAACGAGACAAAGACCAAGAGTCTTATCCGGTAAGTGAGGGCGACGACTCTTACCATGGTAAACGCTTACCGGGTAAATTGTTGCATATGATACTGTTTTGGTAGACTAAAATCTTATCTCTTAAGTAAATAATAGTGTTAAATTTTACCAATAAACGCTTACCGGATAAGTGGGGGAGCTTTTTTCACAACTAAAAATCTCCAAAACAAACTTCCCAAGGAGATCTTTTCGAAAGAAAGAAAAAAAAGGGACCCTCATTTAAGACCCCCAAAAGGCAAAAAGTACCATTCTTATTGCATAAAGTACCACTGCTGATGCAACAGAACATCACCATTTTCCCACTTGACCGAAAAGTTCTACACATATGACATATTGCACAAGGTATCTGCGTAATAGAATAGAAGGGTGATGGAAGAATGGATTTTACAACTATTAATGCATATTGTACAGATTATGGTATGATACTTGTAGTTTTGTATACAATTTGCTCATCCGAAGGAATTGCCAAACTCACCAAAGCGTTCCCAATCCACGAGATTTTATGGATGATTCAAAAATGAACTTTGAAAATAGGGTTGTTTGGCAATTGCCGAATGATTTGGTGCAGAATGATTAAATGGTCAGAATGATTAAGAGGCTCTCATGATATAGTGCAAAATGAAATATAATTGTTTGGTAATTGTGTACGATGAAATTAGAGCTCTTAATGGTTAAGAGGATTCATGATACAAAATAATTCAGAGAGTTTTAGAACCATTAAGAGGCAAACTTTTTTTTTTCCCAAACAAAATTCACTTGTTAATGATTCAGATAATATATCTTAATAGAACTATTAAGAGATAAACAAACAACTAATGGGCTCACTTTTATCTAGTTTTAATAGGTGTGCGAAAGGGTGGATGGACCTACGAGGGGGTCCCATGCACCTCATCAACCAATTCTAGCAATAGAACTCTTTTTGGGTATAAAAGGTGCACTCCTAAACTCTAAGGGATGTTCGAGGATATTAAAATATACTAGGAACAACAACAAAAAGAGAACTTAAAAAATACTTCAAAATCAACCAAAAATCCCTTGAAAAACTCCAAAAATCGACTTTGATCACCTTAAAGGTGGATCCTCTTTGATGTGCATCTAGCTATTAGTATATACTTGGATCGATGGCTACCATGAAGCAAAGTGTCTATGCTTATGTGAAGCAATCAAGATTGTTTTGTTTTATAGATCATAGATTTCGCTAATCATTTAAAGTTATTTGAGGTTTATTTTTCTTGAATCGAACTTGCATATGCATCAAGAAGATTTGATTGGTTATAGAATCAAGGTCGAGTTTACCGAATCGATCTCATCTCGTTTATAGCACCATCCGAAGTGCGAACTGATCAGTTGCATTCGAATGTATTATTAGATGGATCCATGAGGGAAAGAGAGATCGAGGAGGAGGAGAATTGCACAAAATTTTCTTTCCATAAAAGGAAATAAAAAGGATATCATCTGAAAACAGCATCTTTCCTTGCAAAACGATAGACAACGACACCAGTCCTCGATGCAGTTGAAGGACCATCTTCATGGATCAATTCAACCTGAAAATACTTCTTTGCTTTCTTGAAGAATCCAGATTCCTTCTTCCACCGCCTCAAATGAGCCATCAAAAACACCTTCTCACCATCCAAAAACAGATATCTTAACGTCTCAAGCAAAGGATCATACAGATTATCATGATATACTACGTCTGAACCGATAATCAAGTCGTATTCCCGACCAATCGCTTCCATTTCCTCTTTGTTTCCCCAACTCAGCGCCCCCACGCGGACTTGACCGCCGCGTGGGGCTAATACTACGGAGTTGGCGTCGACGTTGAATTTCAGATTTGGCAGCACGTGAGGGAGGTCCGTCACAGTGACGTCAGCGCCTAATACGGCGGAGGCGGCGATTCCAACGACGCCGGTTCCGGATCCTAGCTCCAGAATGCGGAGTCGTGAACGGCTTTTGACATTCGTTATAACGGTGGATAACGGATCGGTATTAGAGGCCTTGTAGCAGTCGAGGAGGTTGACGAAAGTGGTGGCGGCCGGCCAGAGCTGGAAGGAGAGGCCTTGGGACGGAAGTTGCCGGATTACGATGGTGGAATCGACGGACGTAAGGTGGTAGCTTTGGTGTTGAACCGATGTAGGAACGGCTTCCGATTTATGTAGAGCATCATCATCATCACCTAGCAGTAGCATTGTCACCGGATTGATCTCTTCGTCGTCGTCTCCGCCGTCCACGACGGTGGTCATGTGATGAGGGCGCCGACGATATTAGGTTTGGAGGATGGTATTTAAAGAAACTTGCGGAGGAAGTAGGTTAAATTTGGAAGTATTTGGACGATTTTACCCTTTTGTCCCCGTCAAGTGGACAGCGTTGACTTGTTTAATTTGTAAATCCCCATAGTTTGACCATTTTTGCCTTCTTTATATAAAGATGAAGAGGATTCAAACGTAACCATTTTTTTGAGTAAACTACGATTTTAGTCCCTGTGGTTTATTTAGAATTGCAAATTTCGTCCTTTAATTTCAAAATTATGGCATTTTTTCCTGCAGTTTGTTTGTAATTTCAAATTTCGTCCTCATACTTTCGAAATTACACTTTTAGTGGTTTGTTCATAATTTCAAATTTCGTCCTTGTACTCTCAAAATTATAACTTTTGTCCCCATAGTTTGTAATAGTTTCCGTCCCTGGTAAGGATGGTGATTAATCGCGACCCGGTGGGGAATCCGGCTCACCCAACCCGAACAGGGACAGGGATTCCCCGCTAAAACGAGTTCCGGGCTGGGGATCCCCGATAGACTCAAACCGGGGACGGGGCCGGGAGATGTTACTCAAACTGGGGTAGGGGATCTCTGGTAGACTCAAACTAACGAATATTCTTCATGGGTTTGACCGGGGACGAGATGAGGGGGCTGAGGTTACAAAACCTGCCCCATCCCCGGCCCGTTGCCATGCCTAGTCCCTGAGGCAATTCAATATAATTAAGTATGAGAACAAAAACGGTAAAAAGTTGTGAACTACAAGGACAAAAGAAGCAATAAATTATAAATCACAATAATAAAAAACGAATTGTAAATCAGATGAACGAAAATAGTAATTTAAAAAGCACAAGGACAAATAACAACTTACAACAAACTACAAAGACGAAAAACATGATTTACTCCTACTTCAAAATCGTTTTTATAATAGTGAAATTATTTATACTAAATTTATTTAAACATCTCTATCAAAAGTAAAAATCACAGAAGGATGATCGTGTCTGTTAATCCTCTATTGCCCCCTCAAGTGAACACTTTTTCTTCATACAAGATTTGAGACCAAAAACTTGAAAAACATTACAATTTATAACTGTTTAAAATTAAGAGTTAATTACAATTTTCATCCTCCAACTTCATTTATTACATAATTGGTCATTATGGTTATCACTTTATTTCAAATTTGATCCCTTTTGTCCTTCAAACAAATTTTTTTTTATTAACTTGAATATCCAACCCGTTATACGAGCCGACTAAACCCCAGGACGACCACCTGCTTTGCAGATAACCCAGAGTCACCGCATTTGAACCTTCGTGGCCATAAAGGATTTTTATTCCTCCTTAGATTTGAACCAAGGACCTCCAAGTACTTTTGACCTTTGGAGCCAAGCTCAAACCAATCATACACCACCTTGTGGTTATCAACGAACTTATTAACATTTTTTTATATTAAAAAAGGTAATTTCATATTGTATGGTAATCAAAAAATAAACAATGAAGATGGATGCTTTAGTGATGAAACCAAAGAATAAGCAATGAAGAAATTCGACTACTCTTCTATATAGCAACGAAAGCGAGAATATTTTTACGTTTTTTTAGTCGAGAAAAGACAAAAACAATTAATGTATCTCCTCTCTGTTGGAGCGAGAAAAACTCGATTCTACATGGGTTTAAAAAGTCACAAAAAGAAAATCTAACATGAACCCAAACCATGGGATGTTCTGCATGATGGTGAGTTAAACATAAGTGTCTCCGAAACTGTGCAGTGGCCACAGTACGCATTTGAACTCACATACTCATGTACTATCCCATATCCCGTATAATCCATTCTCTCAACTTTGAGTTTTAGATATTTAATTAAATTTAAGCTAAGATTACCTACAAATCTCTCGCTATTTGGTCCATTTCGGCGATGTGCCTGCCTATAAACAAGAAGAATTATTGGGTTAGTTTGCAGAAGTGATGACTTTATTCGGATGATATGTAACAGGGATTGAGGAAATACGTTTAGGAGAGGATCGTGATCATTGGCGACTATGCTTCCAAAGCGTATGGTGATCTTAATGGTTCAAAGGAGTTACCATTTTAGCCTTTTATGTCATCTATAACCACGCGTGCAGCATTGCGACCTGGTGCACCCATCACACCGCCACCAGGATGGGATCCACTTCCGCATAGATACAATCCTCGCAATGGGGTTCTGTAATTTGACCTGCATTGTATCCATACTCATAAATTTACAGTCCAAATCAAACCAAAAGGCTAGGTATATCTCATTGGAGATGGGGTATGAGGGGTAAGATATACGCAGACCTTACCTTTTGTCTTTCTCCGAAAAAACCATGGTTTGCAAAAAAGGGTTAAGTAACGATAAAAGAATGCAAAGAGTCTATCTAGCTAAAAGCAGTACAAAGAAACGCCCTATTTCTACAAGCGAAGAAGAAAATAATAAAAAAACAAAAACTGAGTTAACTCGAGTACTTGTAACGATGACCTAGAGACAACATTGAAGCTTACCATCCTTTTACAGGTCTCATGAGGAAAAGAGAATCCAACCCCATTGCTCCATGGAAGATGTTCCCTCCTGTCGAAATATATTTTGAATAGCATGGACATATTTAAACAAATTAAGGGAACCATGAAAACCTAATGTTGGTTTTTTTTTAACATAATAATATTCTGAACTTTTAATTGGCTGAATGGTATAGAAGAACCGTCTTATATTATACTCATATTCTAAACTTTTAACGTAATCATATTCTAAACTTTTTTTAACATAATCATATTCTAAACTTTTTTTAACATAATCATATTCTAAACTTTTAATTGGCTGAATGGTATAGAAGAACCGTCTTATATTATACTCATTCTGTCCTAAGGAAATCATAACAAAGTTCAAGTAAAATAGTTTAACCATATGTCAAATATGTAACGTATCCTACATAACAGCCAACAGAGTAATCTCGTGGACCCGAATTAATACCATCAATTGATGTGTAGAGACGGTAACGGACAAATGGATATTTTTAACTTGGAATTCTTTTTGTTTCAAAGAGAACTTGAAAAAAATTTGTCGCTCATCCCACACAGGATAGAACAACGGATTGATGAGCTCCTTATAAGCTCAAATTTTTGGGTAACCAATAACTTCCACCATGGTTTTTAAGTTGAGCTAGAAGTTATTGGGTCAGCCTGTTGCTTTGGGCTTGGGACGTTACAAATGAAATATTGCAATTTTCATGCAAAGTATTGGAGGTTCAAGTCTCATGGGAGACTTCTATAAGGGTGATAAATAAATATAGATATAATGTGACCGACAAAAAACATGATAATTGCAGCATTTTTACCCATTTGTGTTTGAGAATCTGACATCAATGATGTAGAGAGGGATGGCTGCCATGAATTACCTGTGAGACCAATTATCCTTTCAAGGTCTGGTGGAGCCAACATGTCATAGCCAATAACTGATGAACTGAAGCCAGGGGCATATTCATCAATTAATTTGAAACATCTTTGTGCAAATGATTCCTAGAAAGAGTGTTATCAGTTAATAAGGTTTGAAAGATAAAATGATAAACCAAAACAATAACATGTTCGGAAAATAATAGAATACCATGACCGTCGTACTTTGACTTGTTGGTTCTGTCAAGTATGTTATATTACTATATTACCCTCATCCTCTTTCTCACACTATATTCTCCAAGAAGATGCATAATGTATGTAATATGTATAAACAAGAAAACATAATAGAGAAAATAGATGTGGGTCTACAAACAGAAATACTAATATATAAGAGCTAAAAGCTAAGAGAGACTTCGCTAAACACGTATGTACTCAAGAAATTTGGATACATCAAATTGTTTGATTGGTAACAGAGAATCTTTAAAATCAAACTCACTCTATATGCAGGATCTTCCCAGCTGCCGTCGTTAGGTTTATATGGTGTAAACTGAACAAACAAATTGATAACATGCTTGCCTACAAAATTGAGTCTCATTAGCTATAAGGCACATGGAAAATAGAGTGCATTAAATTACCACATTGAATAATAGAGAAGTCTAATTCTAATCAAGCTTTGCAGCTGAGAAATATTTTAATTAATCTGAATCTAGATAAGAAAGAAAACACGTGAATTTTTATTGACAGCCTACCTTCTATAGCTATCTCACATAAACCTGTCTATCATGGGAGAACTAAGCATTTCAATGTTAAAGTTATTCTTCTTAAGGGAAGTGGACAAAGATGGAGCTATTAATTTTGTCTAAAGCAAGGAGTGTTAAGTGACATGTTCAGGACTGCTGATGTGGAGTCATAGAGTTGTCTAGTTGAATGTGTTAAGTTTAGTTCTTGTGGGTTATTCATGTTTTGTGTTCATGGCTAATTTTTGGAACCATGATTTTAGTAAACGACTTTTTTCCAGCTTTAGATTGTAATGTTTTTGAAGTTTAAGAAATGTAGTTGTAATTTTCTACTCATTCAAACTTACAACAGTTTGTTAGTTGTTACTGCAGCTCTTAGAGCAACTAATGGTTTTAATTATACTCGAGTATTACCTGCTTCATACCAAGAGGGCATCAATAACCATAAAAATTATACCCATAACATCTATTTCAGCTTTTTGTTTGAATATATTCAATTCAAAACGACTCGCTTTCTAGATGATCCCTCTATCAAAAAAGACCCTTTTGTATTTGTAATTGATTTCGGAATTTGAATGAATCAGAAGATATCCCCACTCGGACCAAGACAGAACTTTATTATACGTTATAAGGAAAGGAAGACAAACTCGTTTTAGTGAAAAATATATGCCATGGTTCTTTACTTCGACAGGGTACAGATATCTAAAGTTTTTATTTTTAGATACTTTTTCAGACCTATTGCCGATACTAAGTAGCAATCAAAAATTTGTATCCATTTTTCATCTATTGCTCCATGTGGAATGGGCATCACATCTAGCTTAAAGGAAACAACTTCAGAAGATATATCATGCAATCTATAGAATATCAGGTAATTCCATGAACTGTATATGCTAGTTGATTTCACTACGTAACGGTAAGAGGGTGATAGATTCATATCCAACACCATCTTCCATCATGTATGGACAAAGCATCAAACAGTCGTTTCACTGAAATGGAGGAAAAGGCTCTACCAGTACCCATTCAAGTAGAAAAAAGCCATTCAAAAGGCTTCGCGTATAATTACTTTCACCAAATGAGTTGTTTAGTTCTCTTATGAACTGAGCTCAGAAGTTTGTGCAATAAATAGGCATGTCTTAAATTGTATGAAGAAAGAGATGAGTACCTGGTGGAGATATAGTCTTGTCTAAGACTGAAGGAATTGTCATTTCAATTATAGGCCTTCGTGACGGCAAGCCATTCTTTGCATCCAGGCATGCAGAGTCGATTTCCTCTATACTGATCAACAGATATGACAAGGCAAAAATTTCTTCACTTGTTTGAACTTGAAAGTTGAGAATGAAAAACTGAACAAGATAGACATTCGAAATGTGGAGAAAAAGATTACAAGATCACTCAACGACCACCATTATCTAATTTGAAGCAAAATTGCATATAGATCAACCAGCATCTAAAGTCTAACTACAATGCTCAAAATTAAATCATTATTTCTCTTGACTGATAGTTCGAAATGCTTGAATAACACAAACTGCTCTAAAAAATATGTGAGACGTAATGCTCGTGGGAAGTTGTTCTATGTTGGTTAGTGCCACCACCAGATACATCCTATGCCTTACACATGATTCTTACTCATCTTTCCTTGCCTTTTAAAGTTACAAAACCATGCCAAAACCAGAATTATATATGGACAACCTTCCTCAAAAGAAAGTATGGCAAACCCAAAATTAAAAGGATGTGAAAAGGATAAATGAAAGAATAGCATACCTCTCGGAACAAATGTGAATGGTACCCATATGCTGAGGACCAGCTTCAGGATGACCCAAATTGCAGCACTGAAACTGTGGTAATTTGTCAACTGCTAAGTTGATCTTAGTGGTCGCCTGTTCATAAAGTAGCATTTAGAATTTAAAGCATAAGGATGGACTATGTTTATGCCCATTTGGAAAGTGTCAAGCATCAAAGCATCCAGAGTACAAATAAGACATCTCTACAGAATCTTACTAACGATGGCACATATAGAATCATCTTGCTTCAATTTATCAAATGAAAATGTTATTAACAAAGAAAATGTTATTAACAAATGATCCCCTGACTAGGTCCAGATAACAAATCAAGACAATACATGACTAATAAAAGAAATGAATGTTTTTATTTGCATAAACATCAATTTTTCACTTACAGTTGAAAGGGTGTCAAAAACCTATAGGTCGAAAATCAAACTTCAAGTTTGTAAATCAAACCAAGCATACCCAGTATATCCCACCTAGAAGTAGCATTTGGGGGAGGGAAGGATGTACTGATGTGAATTCAAATATTTTAGCCCAGCATGTGCCAAGCCCAAGAGTACTCCAAGTTTATTCTAGAAGGGCTAAAGGGGGGAAAAAAGAAAGTGGCTAAAATTGATTAGGAAAGTAAATTTTCTGCCTCTATATATGGGGAGGAGAGGCAATACGCTTTTTATCCATTGAGGAGATTTTCAGTATTTTCTTTGGCTCTTTGCATTATGCTTTGAGAGAGGGAGACTTCCCTGGTATTTTTTTTATTCCCTTTGTGATTCCCAATTCCCATTTAGAGATAATTAATTCATTCAATTTTCCTTCCCAATTTATTTATCCATTCCATTGGTTTGATTTCGATTCTTATCATGTACACAAACCTTACTTCTACCCCTAAGAGTAGAGAGACCCAAACTTGAAGTTTGTATCATCAAAAATTTATTACAAGGTTGATTGTTCGATAATAGGAACGACAAATTGCAAAGAGAAAATCTTACAGAACCATAGTCGGAGTGTTTAACAGCACGAGAAAAATCATCCGGGAGAGCACTTTCAGGTACTAGTTCCTGTGTCAGAATTTGAAAAGGAATAACTCAAGGTTTGTTAACCTTACTGCAAGTTCAACTTACAAAGTCATCAGCATCAAAACTTTACCATAAAAGTCTTGTACGGGGTAGCATTTGACAAAACAACTGAAGCATGAACCTGTGTTCCATCAGCCAAAATAACCTATACAAAATCCCAGTTAGATTGCCCAATCCTGCATCAGAATTCATTGCAGCAATTGCATAATAGAGCTCACCCCAGTTACTGTGCCTGAATCCTCAATCATCAGCTTTGATACCTGAACAAGAAATGAACCATCATTTTGAGTAACAAGATTAATTCTGGATAGAACCGAGGCAAAAAAAGGTTTAAACTGCATCAGGTAAAATAGTAGCACAGCAAGATAATATCAGGCTCAGTAAAGCTGAATTATGAAATTTTTGCCTATTTTAAATCTCTGGTCCATCAAAGGGATCAGCCAGAAGATAAGTCTGACATTATCTTATCATACTTCCCTTCCTGTGCAGCAACTGAAGAAACAGAATCTCTCGGACTTTTAGTAAAACATACAAGCAGTATTTTGGAAGATGTGATCGCAATCCTCAATTCATAATCGAAACCAAACCAAACGAACCCGGTATATCCCACCGGGAAGTAGGGTGTGGGAGGGGTAGGATGTACACAAACCTTACCTCAACCACTAAGCAGAATTGAAATTCATTTTGTCACCTCTAAATAGATCATGCTTGATGGATTTTAAAGAAGTGAGCTATTATATGTGAAATTTGACAAATAACATTATTAAAAAACACTCATTTGGTTAGCAAAAATTGATGATCCCAAGAACTCTATCTGGGGAAGTTGGGAAATGTGTTGATCGTAAATTCTTCGCAAAACCTTTTCCTCATAACTTTTTTGCAAGCCAAGGGTGTTCACAGAAACAGCCACTCTACCCCTTCTGGTAAAAGAAAGGTCTACTTACATCACATCCTCCCAAACCTGCCATGTGGGATTTACTGGGTCGGTTGGTTTGGTTTAGTTTAGTTTAACCATAGAAGAGGATGTTAATATTGCCAAAAAAGTAGTAAATATGAAAGGCTCATTCAATTTGTGACATCCCGGAACACAAAGCAAAGTTAGTATCAACTTCTATTGAACATACCCATAAAATAGTGACGAAAAGAACACACTAGTTATTCCAAATGGTATACCTCTGCATTGGTAACTATGGTGGCACCAGCTTCCTTAGCAGCATTTCCAATGGCCAAAGACACTGAGCCCATTCCACCTTCAACATACCTAAATGCATGTTAGTTACCTAGCATGTAATTCATCTAACCGCATCTAACAGTGCCTTAGTGTGCAACATTCAGATGATCAAATACACAATTGAATCATCTTAACCAACACTAAAAACAAAACAGCATTACAATGATATTCACCTTCCACGTGGCAAGTCAACCAAAATAATTATTAAAACGACAATAGAAGGTAATGGATAGATATTTGGGTCTTCGTCAACCCCCTCCCAAAGAGAAGATCAATAAATAAAAATCGATTAAACATTAAAGCAAACGCACACAAAAGGGAACTCGTTGAAAAAACAATTATTTTCACCAAAAGAGTTTAAGACCTTGAAACACTTTTCCGGAGAATGTGATATGTATGATGGCTTCTGAAATATGGATCTATGAGAATGTGAAAGAAAATACAAATATATCAAAAAGGAAACTTAGAAAGTCTATGATCAAACGTGGATCACAGCTACCTGGTGCTACGGGCATTAATGCATTAATAAACATTGCGTACATATGGAAACAGCAATACTTACGACCAAATTCCACGGTCACCGTCAGTTTCTCCCATCACATGATGTAGCAGCACATATCCACTCCCAGGTGTGTGGGTACTTGCCTGGATTACAAAGTGAAGATAAACCAATCCAACAAAGCTGGTGAAATTCATATGTCAAAGCCATTAAAGTTAACACTTATATAACCAATGTTGATTCATCGGCAATAGGTAGTTGTTAGATGACGAGGTAAATACAGCTTGAACTTAACAAAGAGTATAAAATTACAAAAGAAAAAAATATTAATAAATGCCCCTATCTAATTATAAGATCATCCCACATTCTCTTTTTGTTTATGTTTTTTTTTTCTTTTTCTTTTTCTTTTTTCATTCTGTTACCTGTATTTCATTTGTTCATATGAGAAGCAAAAAAACTAGATGGCAAAAGAAATATTGATATATTGAGTCAATAAATACAATGTATGTCATCTTAATCCTAGCATGACGTACAGTATTAAAAAGGTGACTCTTGGAAATGTGTTTGCAGATATTCAGATAAGCTAAGATATTGAACGATCTTGATGAAAGGGGAATTAAATTATTTCCTAGAGCAGAAAAATCCTTCATCGCCAACATGGTTTTTACTTATCAAATGCTTGTGACTTCTTTTGATTTCAGTCAATAATGTGGTACAAGGGATGAGCCACATCAAAGAAGAGAAAGCAGTCAATAAGTTTGTCTTCAAGACATGGGTCTCAAATAGAAATAAAAAAGAAAATGAAATAAATGGATCTATCTTCTGAAAGTCGGAAGTTCTCCTTAATAGTCAATAAGGTGTAAAATATTCCACTTCAACAAAAACACACTTGATCAAAAGAAACACACGGGACTACTGCATACCACCAAGGGCAATAACTTTCCTTAACTGCAAGAAACCTCCTTGAAGGCATTGTCACATGTTTATCTTAGAACATAATCATGCTTGCACAAATATGTAGTAAGATACAGATACGTGATGATGGAAAAGGATACTTACAGTGGCTCCTATCACTGCATCTGTAGCAAGTGTTGCCTTCAACACCTCACTCTGCATTTTATGCACACAACAGAGATTAAAATGTTGGCATTTCCCATTTTATAAATAATACAAAATTTCCTTGAGACATCAAAAGCACATTTTTTCTTTGGTATCATGTGAGGATCACTTGGCGAAACGCAGTCAACTCAACTGTACATTGAGTTTATAATGCCTTTCAACCAATAGATATGCATTGACTATTCAACAATACAGTACTAACTTCTGCATGCATTACACCCATACTCATCACTATGTAAACCAACCCATATGAAACGATCCCAGTATATCCCGCTTGAGAGCAGGGTCGGGGGATGCATGCAGATCTATCATCTACCCCAAATGATAGAGCAACAGATGTCATGAAGACCCCCAGCTTGTGCAAGAGTGTGAACAAAAATGAAGGAAGAGAAAGAAGGAAGAAACAAACAAACAAACAAAAGAAACAAGGTTAGTAAATAGTCAGCAGCAGAAAAAAGAAAAGCAATAAACGAAATAGGTACGGTTAAACATATAAAAACTAAGGAAACATGTCACATCCCTCCATCTATTAATCTTCTCCATATCCCACCCTCAACATTAACTCCTTTATTCCTATCCATGCTAGGTCTATCTACCCTAGTCTTACGTCTCCAAAAACTCCTATCAGATGGCATGTCCTCGTAATGTCTAAGGCCATCATGTCCACCCCCAACTACTCATCCCACGTCCTCATCGGCCTACCCCTCCTCCCCGCCATTTCAACCACCAAACTCTCTACTCTTCTCACTGGTGCCGCCAACGATCTCCTGCGAACGTGTCCAAAACATTGTAGTCTCTTTCCCTCTCAATTTATTTGTAGTAGGCGCAACTCCCAACTCCCCCTGTAAGACCATTTTCGTCTTCCGGTGTCTAGTCTAACATGGCCCGGCCACAAGTCCATCTATGCATCCGCATCTCTGCAACTGGCAACTTCCTCTAACAGGCCTTCTTTGTCTCCCAACACTCTGACCCACACAACATGGTTGGTTTATTGGCTACCATGAACAATTTGCCCTCAGTTTTAGTAGGACCTTCTTGTCACATGACACCCTTCTGGCACCTCTCAACTTCAGCTACCCTGCCTTTATGTGGTGCTTTATCATCCACAACCTCTCCCTTTGTCTGGATCATGGAGCCTAAATACTTGAAGCTACCCTTTAGGATACGCTTTGCCCCAAAATTTTGACTTCTACCTCCTCATCAATGTGTTCCCCACTAAAATTGCACACCATGCATTTTGTCTTAGAGCAACTAATATGCAATGAGTCTAAATTTCCAAGATAAATGATAAATTTGTAGAAGTGATTGGTCTTGTTAGAGAAATCATAAGCAAGTTTTGAGTTTAGCGAAAGTAACATGATCAAACAAAAAATAAATAAATAACTGATAGAAATAAGAAACAAAAAATACAAGTATCATCGTAATTTGGACAGTAATTCACGAAATCATTGATTTCATACATCGGAGGAGCTACTATAAGGGTAAGAGATATATGAATAGTTGTATGTTGATCATGGATTCATTGACAAGAGCTCATGATTCTCAGAGAAGAGGAAGGGAAAATTTGAGTGAATTCACAATGCAGACATTTGAGCTAGAAACAACTTCAATGGAACAGAAGTACATCATCAGCTATTGAGGTCCATGATATTATTTTCCGTCATCTCTAAATATGGCCCATCCCCTTCTAATTATACTCGCCTAAACTTACTTCATATAAAAATATACAAGGACCAAATCAATGAAACATATTTTCTTATCATCTCAAAGTTCATTTATGATTAAGGATCGATAAAGGAACCATTAGCAGTAAATCAGATCTTCACCCTTGCCAAGAATACTCAACCAGTTGGATCAAAATGAAGAACAAGATTATAGCATGCTTGGAAGTTGAAAATACATTTACGTCAGTCAAGGAGTAGTGCCTGGTCAATATGCATTGGAATGTTTCCATGAAGGCTTTTCTAAAATACACAAAAGTCAAAGGAGTAACAACACCGGCATGGAGGAATGAGATTTAAGTAACAACCTCAAACCAGTTATTCAAAACCTTTGATGCTGGTGACAGTAAAAGGTCCATGAAATCCCTGTAAGAAGAAAGAACTACATAAGTTTATGAGGTCTGTAATGCAGACCATCTTCTAAAGCTGATCAAGTCATGAAGGTAATTAGTTGATATTTCACAAAATCTAGGAAATAAACACATTAATTTCATGTTATTGTTCCCTTTTAGTAGATATATATCCTACAACTTGATGTAATATGAGCCCCAGTTTGCACTAGGATAAAAAAAATCTTACACCAGCCCTTGTTGACCCATGGAGACAGACTGATGCAAACAATGGGCCCAAAATTCTGACTTCTGTAACTTATGTTTCAATCGAGCATTAAAAGATGAAACGCCTTGGTGAGCTTCAGGCGGTGATGAATCTATAAGCGGATCCATGAACTTGCAAAAGGTCTCCAGTTGATTTTCATACCTACGTATATAAACCAAGAGAGGTAAATGATTAAGTTATTAAGAAGCCTGCTCCATTCAATCTAACAAACAAATAATCGAAAGTTCAAAATCAATGAGGAAGTATAACAAAGATGAACTTGCATAAAATACACAGAGCAGATCGCCAGACAGAAAGGTTCCTCAAAGAGATTATGCATGTTCACAGCAAATTAGAGAACCTTAAGTGATAATATAAATGTAATTAATATATTCAAGTGCCAATTCCTGTAATTCTCCAGTTTACAAATTTCCCTCGTGCTTGTAATTTTCCCATTGGGATTTTCAACTCCTAATATTTACTAATAACTGAATATCTGTCATGAGACTTTCAAGCACAGACACAAGAAAAATACCAACTACAATGGATGTTTTTAATTAATACAGCTATTTTTTCCAGGTGAAGTTAGTTCATTAATTAACCTTAAGTGCTTAAGGGGAGATTGGAAGATTCAAACTAAGGATCTGGCAAGTAGCTTGAACCAAATATCCAGTCAACCACTGTTACAAGTCTGCAGACAAAGTTGTATCAGCACTCCAATCTGGTTCCGAGTGAATCAAACAATTCATGCCTCATGTGCGCCATTTGCCAGCCACAATCCTCCCATTATTCCCCACCAGGGATGCATGAGCCCAGTGTTTTCCACGATCAGAAGACTTCACAATTGCAATTTTTTGAAAGCTTTTTAATTATAAAGGGGAAACAGGATTAGGCCTGATAATTTGACTAGCAAGAAGCAATCCTCCTCCACATGATTTTTTTGTCCCTATAGGCTAGCTACAATTCTCCCAGTAAGCCCAATGTTTTCTTTTAGAAACTATAAGCTCTCTGATTGGGAGGCCCTGACTATAGCTCTATGTCCACAGTAATCCTCACTCTCATGGCCAATGTATAAAAGCAGTAGGACTAGGTTAATAATCATTGCTTTGAAAATTTGCTCATGTTGATTCAGAAAGTTGATTTACCTTCTAAAATCATCATAATGAAGATGAATATGGGAAAGATCATATGTCTTAAAAGAAGTTTTTAATGCTGAATCGTAAATATAACCACGTTAGTTATGTGGAGTGCATAAACCAACAAGTCATAGACCGATTTCCGTATTAGATTCCACCATTTCACCATATTTATATTATAAATGGTTGGTGTTTGTAACAATATGCTAACTTAATATCGAGATAGAAAAGTAACATCAATAGAACCTCGGATAAGCATCAGCATCCCGTTTTGAGAACTTGGAAATCTCCGAATGATTTAGCTCAGCATCAGGACCTAAAAGAAGATAACGTCCATCCAAACACGGCGTAAAGGATGAAGGACTTCTCTTCAACAATTTCAATCCATGTCTACCTAACTCCAGATCTCTTCAAATTCATCAAATCAGAAGAAAAAAAATATATCAGTCAAGCAATATACAAGAATGATACAAAGCAAACTTGAATATTTGAAATTAAACCTGATAATAGAAGGGCGAAGGAGACTTTGGAGGTAGCTGCAACGGGAGAACTTGAAACCAGGGATGAGTTCTTCGGTGATGGCGGCACCACCAATTAGGTGGCGGCGCTCTAGGACGGCGACAGAGAGGCCTGATTGAGCTAGGTAAGCAGCGGCAGTAAGGCCATTATGACCACCTCCGATGACCAGAGCATCCCATTTCTTGTTGTTTAAGGCGGCACTGGCAGTGGCAGTGGTGGTGCAAAAGCTTCTTCTCCACATTTTGGGGTCTCACACTTTCTCGCTCAGTTGTGTCCTGCTAACAGGTTTTAAACCATGGCTACTTTGCCGTCCTTTAATCCGTACAACTGGTTATAGTGCTTTAACTTCTATTTTTCTTTTTAGCAAAAAGGGTAAATAATAAATCTCGGCAGACAAATGTAAAAAATAAGTAATAATATACATGTATGTGAATAGAAAATTAAAATATATATATATATATATATATATATATATATTTAATGGTAAGATCAAACCTTGCATCAAAACGTAATATTCTAGTAAAAAAATAACTTATTGACTTATTTTAATGTGGCACCAATAATAAGCATTTTTGAATGTTTTGACAAACAACTTATATCAATGTCAAACCGGTAATAAAGAGTTCTTGAATAAATTAAACACTTCTGACTTATAATAAGTTGATAAGTGTTTTTGTATAAAAATATAAGGGATTGTTTGATTACCTCTTAATAGTTCCATTAAGAAGTAACCTCTAAATAGTTAAGAGGTGAATCTTGTTTGGCAAAAAAAAAAGTTGTCTCTTAATGGTTCTAAAACACTCTGAATGATTTTGTATCATGGATTTCCTTTAACCATTAAGAGCCCTAATTTCATTGTACACAATTACCAAACAATTATATTTCATTTTGCACTATATCACGAGAGCCTCTTAATCATTCTGACCATTTAATCATTCTACACCAAATCATTCAGCAATTGCCAAACAACCCCTAAGTTGTTTCAAATAAACAATCACAAACACCCCTAAAGATTGCTATTGGAATGATGTGGCATAGAAATTGCTATTTGGTATGTCCATTGCTTTGATTCGCCTATGGGACTTATCAATGTTAAATGTTATTTTATTGGGCTTTTATATTTTTGTAAATTTATAAATCCACATTAAATTTATATAATTGTTAAGAACCTTGGTTTTTGTAACTCATTGTTGTAATGGAGTTTCTGATGATTCGTTTGGTTTGCAGGATTGCTTTTAAGGGATTTGGATTTTATAAAAAGACTTGGATTGGAATAGATTTGAAATCATTTATGTGTTTGGTTTGTAAAATTTGGAATTGAGTTGGAGTCCATAATTTAAAAAATAATGTATAAAAAATTATAAATAACTAAATTGCATTCTTATTAATCGATTATTACAAAACAAATGTTTTTAACATTTTTTAAAACCTTGTTGCATACAATCCTCTAAAATCCCAAGCACGCCCTGAGAATTTCAAAATCTTGTGTTTGAGTTTTAAATCCGGACAATCTAACAAACCAAACATGAGATTTGAATGGATTTAAAATCCAAAATCCTCCAAACCAAACGGGGCCTTAGTTTCTTCGGTTGACAAATTCTTTGTAAGAACTAGAGAAACTCCAGTTTTGGTCCAGTAGTTTTACTGAAAATCTAAAAATTGTGTATCTAGCATGCATTTACTTTGAATACGAGTCATTTCTCTAACATCATCAACTAAGAATCTGTTAAATGCATCATATATCCCTCACGTGAAAGGCATTTTGATCGTTTCGTATGTTTTAATTAAAAAATGATCTTAGAAGTTTTTAAAACACATTTACCTGTATATTCAGAATAAAATTAAAGCAAATAAAAACTAACCTCCCCCAATATTCACCTTTATGAACTATTTTCTTACATAAAACTCGTTTCGACCGTCTTCTCTAGTGAGCCTCTTTCATCATACCAATTTCACTCCTCCATTTACTAAAGCATTATTTATCCAACTACACCTTCTCCTTGGTCCGGATACTGAAACGCACCAGTCATGAGTGATTTTGACCGAGAATTTTCTTTGCTTTCCACTAACAAATAAGAGAATGAAAGGGTTTGGGTTTTTTTGATTTTGCTTGATTTAGGGGAAGGATAATGTCGTGGACCGTTTAACCAAAAGTGCTCGTCAAAAGGAGGAGGTACCGTGCGTCGTTTACATAAATGATATCTCAAATCGTAATACATTTTTGTACTGCCCGGATGCACGGACATCCGCGACTTATGTGCTTCAGATAATACCAGACAGCTCTTCTGGAAGTTCAAGTCGATATGCTTCCATTTCACTAATACCAAATTGATTGTGTTGTTTATAGTTTAAGCTTTATGCAAATCTATTAAGTTTATTTTGTTCGTTTTAGGATATTTTGGAAAACAGGTGCTTACGGAAACGTCCTGTAAACCAAGCGGACATTTCGAATTAGAAACTCGTAAATATTATATCACATTTGCTTTCTAAAGGTTTAAAAATATAACTTTTGGTTGTTTGTTTATCATTTATAGAAATGAGGTATTACAAACCTTTTATCATTTATGTAAATCGGATCTTTCAGATAAAGAGACTGAGATGAGGCTTAACTAGTCTATGTTTTCATTAGATTCAAGGTTTGAACCATTATGTTCCCTTTAATCTATGAAGAACAACAAAGGATAATGTTGATATTTGTTGCGTATTTCCTTATATCAGATAGTTTATATAACCTAAGGTTTTCCCTTTTACGAGGGCGACGACAACTGTAGATAACAAGAGTAATTCTTGTGGCTGGAGATAAGTATACATTCATGATATTCCTCTAACATTCAACAAGGATATATAAACATAGCAATATTAACAAATTGCTCAATATGTGTAAGCTCATTGCGAATTATGGGCTTTGACCTTGATATTCATAATTTTGGTGGTTTGCCATGACATTTCCTGCACGGTCTTGTTTTCACATATTCATAAGCTCTATGGTTTTGAGATCCCTGCACCAAGTTTTTGGTTTTAAGTCGCCGAAGGAGGAGGGGAGGGGAGGGGCTGTTAGAGTGGTGGGTGATATCACGGGGACGGGCAAAGGGAAGAGTTGTTAGAGTGGTGGGTGATATCACGGGTACGGGCAAAGGGAGGAGAGAGTTTTTTTTATCGTATATAAGTAATATATGATATAATTTTTAAAAAAATGGGTAAAGAGAGTGTAAAGATTAAATGTTTTACTCTCGATTAGTGGTGTTAGTACAAATGACTTCATTGAAGTAGGTGTTGAGAGGGGCGGATGTAGCATATAGATGGTGGGGGGATGGGCCCCATTAAAAAGGAATTCTCAATTACTTAGATTAAAAACAAATCTTTTTTAATTTTCTATCACATTCTCCCAGTAATTTCTGATCTATGCCCTCGTCAACCAAAAATATTACTTTGAAATCAACAAAAAAAAAATATCTCAAAACCAACAACAAAAACCGAAAAAGTCAATCTTAATCGACAAAAGAACTTAAAAATCTTTCAAAATCAAACCAAAAACTTTAACAATAATTTGAAACGATGGAATTAGGCTAAAAACACATCGGAAAACTTTGTAGCCCTTTAATCTACCTTAAAGGTGCCTCCACTAGACAAAAATCATGGATACGCCACTAGATGTTGATGGTCCATCAAGTGAAAGGTTGTTGGTTGATTATGATGATAACTTCAATTAAGAATCCACTTAGAGTACACCAATTTAAATAGTTGTTCTCACGTTGAATAGACCTCCAATCTAAAAATTATATTTATTCTCATCAATCACTAAATCCTGAAACAAAAGATCCTTGAAGATTAGATTTGGAGTTACCCTAGTAAATGAAGAAGTGTATGCATTTTAAGATGTTTTTTCTTCTATGCAAAATCCATTACACAAATTCAAATCCTTTAAAGAAATGATAGTGTAATATGTTGGTAAATATTTATTAACAATGCTTAAAACAATTGTAGTATTTCATAAAACTAGTTATAACCATTTTGTAATAAAGAATTTTATAAGACTAGTTGTAGTCATTTTATAAAACGTTATATGGAAGAAAAACAAAAAAAGCATAAAAACCCAGAGTTCGATTAACTACTTGCATATGCAAGATTTTCGATAAAAATATTTGGGATGATGAAGATACATAATAAAGAGTTTAAAATGCCAGCTAAATTAAAAGTGATAAATTAAGTCAAAAGAAAAAAAAATAACACAAATCCAAAAATATATGTTTAAGAAAGTAACATAATAATGGAGAGTAAACTACAAATACTTTTCGTACTTGAAAAAGCAGCTTATAAAAGATATAAGAAACAATCAAAGCAATGACATACATAGTAGATCTGGGTGGAATTGAACCACCAACCTCCCGGGAATTAAACCCCGGGCGCTCTTGCCATTTCAGAGCTCACAGATCTCTCTTCAACTACCCAATTTCACTGCACACTCTTAAGAAGCATAACGTTACTTGATTCCCACAAATTTATCAAGAATAAATGTCTTTTAAATTGCTACTTTCATATATTCTTGACGTCATTCTAGCTTTTTTTATACAAGAGGTGTTTGGAATGCTTAGTTAAAACAACTTATGTTTTTCTACAAAAACTTTTATCAACTTATAAGTCAGAAAGGTTTAACTTCATTACCAATTTGGCACCGATATAAATTGTTCATTACCAGTTCGGCACCGATATAAATTTTTTATCCAAACACTTAAAAATGTCTATTACCGAAATAAGTCAATAAACTATTTTTATAAGCAATCCCATACACCCCCATAATAGAACGTTTTTCACCATTTTAGAACAGAAATTTCTTAAAAGAATACAATAATTTACTGATACCAACAAAAAAGCTTATATAGATGATACCACAATCCACGGTGCAATAAAATCAAATCGATAAACCACTTTTTGCTCCAGAAAACAAAACTGGATACTTAAAGAATCCCACTATATTCCATGTTGAAAGGGGGGAAAAACATGGAAAGAGTGCTTAAAAGGATAAAGAACATATACAACAAAAAGATAGAGAAGCAATATAGAATTTTAGGTGAGAAGCATCTACAGGAAACAGCTAAAACTTCATCCACAAATCAATGAAATTTCAGTGTCCTGCATGCAACCTAAGAAAACACATTTGGTTTAATGGTCCAACCAAAAGTTCATGACACCATCCGATCAGCTAATCTGCAAAAATGAGTTCCAATAGGATACTGGAAAACAAACTACCAAAACTGGGATATAGAAAAAATTTACTGCTTCAAAACTGGTTAAAGTTACAGCAATGAAAATTGGGATAGAAGATACCAATCAACAGATATCCGCAGCTAAGGTATCACATGGCAAGAGAGAACATCCAATTAGACTCCTGATATCATTAAGAAAACATCGAAACGGAATCACATCACTTTGATCATATGAGAAGCCATGAGTAACAGCTGGATCATTTGAGAAGCCACATATGAACAGATCATGAGTGACAACCTTACCTTGCAAGCCACATGCAAGTACCAAAACCTGTCATGCATTCAAACCGCTAGTTCCAAGGGTTGTCAAGTGCAAGACAGATCATGAGTGACAACCATTCACCGCTAATGCTGAGGGTTGGATGCAAATAGCCAAGTCACCAACAGTATAATAAACATACCAGACAGCTGATCAGGAAACAGAAGCCACAAACTTGATGACCCCCATCAGCAGCAGAGGCAGCAGCACTTCCAGTCCCAACTCTTGTAAATCAGCGAGCTCCTTGGTCCACCTAAAGAAGAGGAAGTTCCAGCAGCAGATATGCCCCCCAACAGTTTAGCTTAAAGTCCTCCCTTCCAACAAGATATTACATCAACAGTTGAGGGTGATTAAGGTCAAACAACCAGTAGCTCTGACAAAGACGGTATCTGAAATTTCCAGCTCTTACCAACCACCTCCTAATAGAAGGTCAGGCGACCATAACATACAAGACGATTGAACACTTCAACAGAACCTAACCCATTAACAACAGAAACCACCATGTACATGGGTGTCCAGTACAAAACAAACATGAAAATGGTCTCAAGACCTCTTTAAATGTAGCAAAATACAATCAAGAACCCAGAAAATGAATAAATGGATCATAGCATGAAGTTGCGAACAGCTTTGGTTTTAGAAGCTATACATTTGTTCAGTTATGCACAGTTACCGGGTTACAAATTATCAGAGCATTAATCAGATTACCATTATACAATTTGTCAGTCGGCGCATATTGAGATTGTCAGGTGCAAGACAGATGTATCCATAAAAATTTCCGAAAGCCAAACATGGCATGTGCTATTATCAAGTAGAACACAGCACACCATCGTATGCAGAGTGGCCAAATTCTGTTTCTAATGGAAGCTCTTAAAAACATGGTTTGCAAATTGAACAAAACTATTCAGGGAAGAAACTATTTTATATGAATGTTGTGAGGCGGTTGAATGGAGAAGTTTGATAACCAAATTTAAAGGACTAACAAAATTTATTGTGAACCTGTTAAAACAAATAACGATATATCTTTTAGACCAACATCCATTTATAAAGCACCGTTGGATCATCGTCGTCATTTATATTCCAGAAGATTTATAGGTTTCTTATGCATGTCAAAGGTAGTCTTATGTGACTTGCACAAAAAGCTCTTACTCATGAAACTAGAGCCTTGTGGCGAAAATGTTTGTGGTGCAATTTAAAAAAATTGTTGGTTCAAAAGGCCAATTAAGTAGCCATGATGTATCATATCATTTGACCAAAATTTGCGACATATATTGTACAGGACCACGACAAGCAGTTTGACAGATAGTACCTTTTGGATGAGAATCAGGTGATGCTTAATGTTGATGGGGGTTCACTTGGATAATGGTTGTTGCTGTTGCCACGGATTGAACATTTGGACTGTAAGAGGCTTTGAGAACCGATAGAGCGCCAACGCATAAACGCAAATTCACACACACACACAAAATAAGGCGCACACCAGAGGAGAGATCCCGGGCAAACCCCGTGCGACCTCCCCTCAAAACAAAAACTGTTCTTCTTTTATTAGGATATGATGGCCTGCCATGCGAGCGCACCCAACATGGCAAAGGCTAGATAACAGGAGGCAATAGGACTTACACAGCTCCTACAACAAACGAGTCCCGTTCCATCCAACTACTTGCTCTACATACAAACCTGGATGTCAATTCCACACTTCAAGTTCCCAAAGGTACATGAACATGGAGTTCCAGCGAGTCAATCTTTGATAACAAAGATGAGACCGACTTAGATTCTGATGATCAACACAAGCGGACCAAACGTTTCGTAGCCGTAAATTCAACTGAATCACGACCATCATAGGAAGTCACCCAGCCACAACGAACAGGCAACCATAGGGACCTGAAATCCAAACAAAAACTCAGATTCTAGAAGAGCACGTCATCCAACAGAAAAGAATAAAAAGAAAATCTGGAGTAGGTACTTACCGGTGACTCTTCACAAGAAAAACATAATTCTAGAATCTTTCAATGACCCGATAGACGCTTAACCCTTCCCCTCTCCTGCTTACAAAACAAAAAGAATCAGAAATCCATGACAATCGCTACCCAAAAGGATCTAAAAGAACGATAAATCTCAACATGTACAAAAGAACGTTTAACCGTACCTTCCAATCTGCTATCGAGCAGCAAATTGCAGATCTGAAACGTTGACAACAGATCCATGCCGGATAAATCAGATGCTGACCGTTCAAGGTAGATCGATGACGGAAATCAACAACTCACATCAAACCAATCAGTTCTTTGAAAAAAAAATACAGGACCAATAGATAGATCCAAAAGAAAAAACCACATCAAAACGTAGATCGTCTACCGATCTACCTCGATAACATGTTGATCGAATCAAACTCGAAAGGCTCGACATCAGATCTGAGATTTTCCCAATATGAAGACAGGATATACAGACGGTTGTCGACGAGATGAAATTTTGCAATATCGTAATTTGCGTTTTATAGAAGCTAGGGTAGATATGGACGGATGAGATTGAAAGATAGAACGATAATCCGACGGTCTATAGACGAGATGGTGACGTGTAGGATTAATAATTCCAATAAAGGCGATCGCACGAGAAATTAGACACTTTCGCAACAAGAAATTTCGTAGCCGCATTCTATAAGGGGAACCTACGTAAATAACTCTCTAAAATAAGAAAAAATACATTTTTAATTCTAAAATTTATAAATTTAACAAAATAATCAAAAGTTACCTTGTTAGCATCGTTTGGTGTGTACAGAAACCTCAATGCAAACAAAAATTGAAGTGACCCAATGTGACCGAGCCCTGATCCCTTTGACCACATTCGTGACCACTTCCTCAAGTTTGATGATACATTATATCTGATATGTATATATTTAGAAATAGGAAAAAGAGTTACTAAGAAAGCAATTTTTTTACCTTTCCTGATAGAAAGCAGGAAAGGGGAACGTTTTTTTTAAAAAAGATGAAAAATGAAGGAAAGGTTTTTTTTAAGAAAAAAAAAAACATTGGTGTTGACCATATTTGTTGGTGGAGAGTTCAAAAAGCTTGCATCAATGACTTGTACGTAATGCATCATTGTTAGTAATTAAGAGATTTTCAGTTTTTATACTTCAAAAAACATTACTCTTATTTTTGTTGTGTTGCAATTAAGACTTTGATATAAATGAATATTAAGGTAGTATATATATATATATATATATATATATATAAATATAAAGAGAGAGAGATAAATAGATTAGCTCATCTATAAAATTTGATATAAACAATAAATCTTTTATAGATGATAAGACCAACTCTTGCATCAAAACGTAAGATTTTAGATATATTTATCTAATCTTTTTCAATAGATGTAACAAGTAAAATATGGTGTAAATGGATAGAGTTATGCCAAATTTGGTGTGTTACTATTCATCACACCAAATTTGGCATTCCACTATCTCCATTAGAGTAATTTGGCGTCAAATTTGCAATTTGGTGTGTCCACTGTTGTGATTTGAGACGAATTTGGTATTTGGTGTCCCTATAAGATGTGGTCATACAAGAACCTTATCATGTTAAATGTTATTTTATTAGGCTTATTTAACTTATATATCTGCATTAAATATATATATATATATATATAATTATTAAGAACATTGGTTCTTGTGTTAGTATTCATCACACCAAATTTGGTGTTTTCATTGTCTCCATTAGAGTGATTCGGTGTCAAATTTGCTATTTGGTATGTCCATTGTTCTGATTTGAAACGAATGCGGTATTTATTTGGTGTCCTCATCGGAGATGGTCTTACAAGAACCTTATCATGTTAAATGTTATTTTATTAGGATTTTATACCATTTTTTAACTTATATATCAACATTAAATTTATATAATTATTTAAAACATTGGTTCTTGTAAATCATTACGGTAATGGAGCTTCTTGATTTCTTGATTGACGATACTATTACAACAAAAAAGAGGTCCGTGTAAGTCACTTTATTGCAGAATCTCTTAGAGCACCTTCAACAGAAGGTTATAAACACTATCCCAACAAGTCTTATAAGAACTGGAGTAACCCCACTTTGGTCTATCTGGTTTTATCAAAAATCTGAAAACCGTCTGTCTACTTTAATAAATACAAAAATAGTCTCAATAGCATGCATTTGGCTTTGAAAACGAGTCATTTGCCTTAACATCATTAACCGAGAATTTGTTAAATACATCATGTGTCCCTCACGTTAAGGGTATTTTGGTCATTTCACATGTTCTATTACAAAAACAGTACAAATCTTTAAAGCACAAGTACAAACATTTCTCATATATTCAAAAAGAAACAAACAAATGAAAAACTAGCCCCAAAATCAACCTCCCCCCTCCAAAATCATCACCGTTGTGAGCACCTTTCTTCAAACCAAACACACTTTTGTCATCTTATCAGGTGAGCCTCTTTCTTCACACCAAATTCACCCGATCATTAGAGGGGTAATCTTTTGCAAACCCCTCCAATATCACAATCATTACAAACTAATCCAAGCCGTTGGTTTATGAGAAAAGGTATTCTTATTTTTGTAAGTTAAGGGTAAAGATGTCCTTTTCCATTTTGTTCAATTTTGTGATCATTTATTTTAGGGTGGCGGTTAAAATGTGGAAGTATTTATTTTATTTTAGATAATTTCCGGTTTATGATTAAGTGTTTTTTTGTATTATTGTATATATCTGGTATTCATAATTAATTTTTGTTTATAATTATTTTTGATTATTTTGATCACTCGCTTATCTTTGCAATGGACGATGAATTCATCATTTCTGATATAGCCACTGAGGAGTTTGTAATGGCAAACAATAATAACAAGGTGTCATTTTCAGATGTAGAAGGATTTGTTAATCCCACTCAAGTTGGAGATGATGCAGTTCATTCAGACGTCTTATTGATACATGATAAAGCATCTGGTTAGTCGTTAAATAATTGGACTGGTGTAGCTGGTTACTGATTTTGAGGAATAGTTTGTTGTTTTTATTCTTTCCAATTTCATGTCACTGTTTAAGTTTTAGATTGTACTACGTTTATGAGAATAATGGATTGTTTTTTATATTTTGGAAATTATTTTGATTTTATATTTTGAAATAAAATTATTTATTTGGGGCTAATTTGGTAATGATTTAATAATTTTTTTTATTAACATGGATATCCAACCCGCTATGCGAGCTGACTAATTCAATGACGACCACTTGCTTTGTAGATAGCCCGGAGTCACCGCATTTGAACCTCCGTGGCCACAAGAAGATTTTTATTCCTCCTTGGATTTGAAGTTGAGACCTCCTGATACATTTGACATTTGGAGTCAAACTCAAACCAATGAGACATTGTCCTTGTGGTTTATTTAATAATTGAGGTTTGTTGGGAGTTGTGGCTATTATTGTGCCACCTCGCTCTTCAATTCACTTGTTATTGTCCGGCCTATAAGCGGGTCGGGTTTGCTAACATGCTAACGGGCTTAAAATGTGTAATTTTTATAAATCTATAAACTTGATCACTAACAATTAATTAACAAACGTAGAACTAAGGCCACCCACATGGGGCTTGCAAACACAATTGCAAATCAACTTTTGTTAGAGTATGAGTTGCCAAGTAGGAAAAACCTTGCAAAATTTGCAAGTCAATTTGAAAGCCACGTGGGCCACCCACTTCCCTCCAATTTTATTTTTCTTTCTTTTAATTATTTAAATAAAYTA